GCGTCGCACTGACCGCGCAATAACTCCAGGAAATGCCAAAGACATCGCCAGGTCGAAGCACCGCAAGCAGCTCTAACGCATCGACGCAGTCGGGCTGGTCCATCTTGTTGGCCACGAGGAGACAGCGAGACGGGCGGGCGACGGCAAACGCCGCATGCAGTGCATCCCTCGCTGCACCAAGGCTACTGCGGTCGGTCGCGTCCACGACAAAGACCACTGCGTCAACACTGCTGCAGTACTGCGGCCAGCACGGCTGCAAAGCGACTTGGCCTGGAATGTCCCACATCGTGAAGCGGGTGTCCTCGAAGGCAACGGTCTCGACATTGAACCCGACAGTCGGTAGCGTCGGTCCCGTAGCGTGGTGGGCCCATTGGAGAAGGAGCGTCGTCTTGCCGGCGCCCGACGGGCCGAGGATGGCGACGCGGCGCTGCTTGGTCGGCGGTGGCGTCGAGTGGTCTGCCCCCATCACACTATAATCTTGTGATCTCCCGTGACCAAGTCGGTCAGCAACGAGGCTTTTGATGGACACCGAGCTCGATGCGAAGCCGCAGAGTTCGCTGGCGCCACCTCATAGGCCATGGAAGGCGCGAATGTTGGGCAACGAGCGACCATCATCAGTTACTCTAGCCCGAGAACTAAGCTCTCGCGCCTAGCCTGGACCGCCAGGGCAAATGAAGGTACATCAAGGTGATGGAGGTTGTATCCTTGGCCTTGCAGCTCTGCGCTACAAGGCATGCACCCGGGCGGGCTCACGGCGCCCGTTCTGACGCATTTGCAACTTGAAGTCGATGACTGCATTTGATTGGGCAAAATACGGAATTAAATTGCGAGCACCATGGCAGCCGCAGCGACGGTCCGGGCGGCGCTCCAGCAGATCTATACGTCCAAGCGCGTCCAGTGCGTCGTAAGCGTCTCGGGCGGCGGTGGCAGCGCCGTCGGTGAGATCCTCGGCACCTGCGGCGCGTCGTCCACGCTCCTCGAAGTGCTCGTGCCCTATCATCGTGAGAGCATGGCCGACTTCCTGCAAGTGCCTGGCACGCAGCTCGAGACGCTCGGCTTCTCGAGCAAAGACGTGGCGACGCTCATGGGCAAGAAGGCGCTCGAACGCGGGCGGCGGCTCGTGCCCCTCGACGATGCGGCCGCATGCATCGGTGCAATCGTCGTCTCTTGACAATCTGTGGCTCACGATCGTTTCGCAGGCATTGGGTGCACGGCCGCCTTGGTGTCGTCCGAGCCGCGCCGGGGCTCGCACCGCGCCTTTCTCTCACTTCACACGGTCGACGCCATCCATCACTTCAAGCTCGAGATGGAGAAGGGCGCGCGCACGCGCAAGGAGGTACTGCTGCAAACCTAGTCCTGTCTCGGACGTCAACGCGTAGGAAGACGAGTGCGTCGGGCACCTTGTCGTGCTGGCGCTGGCCAAAGCCGCCAACGTTGACATGGCGCTGCAAGCGTCCCTGCGCGAGCTCTGCACGTCGCACACGGGCGACTCGCTCGTGGAGGACGCGCCCATCGCCACGCTGACGACGTCCGGCTTGCAGCTGCCGACCGGCCCGCACGAGACCGTCGCGTACTTGCCGCCGGCGACGATCCTACGGGACATGCCATGGCGCCGCATGCTCGTCGTGCCAGGCTCCTTCAACCCGATGCATGTGGGCCACACGCAAATGGCGGCGACGGCGCAGGCTGCGCTGGCTGCCGCTTCGGGCGAGCCGCCACGCCGCATTCTGTACGAGCTCTCGGTGCGCAACGCCGACAAGGGAAGCGTCGGCGGGGACGCGCTCCAGGCCCGCGTCCAGGCGATTGTGTCGGAGCATCACGCGGCAGTCGTGCTCACGAATGCGTCGCTCTTCCTCGAGAAAGCAGCGCTCTTCCCTTCGTGCGCGTTTGTCATTGGCGCCGACACGGCCGTACGTCTCCTCGACCTCAGGTACTACGACCAGAGCCAGGAAGCGCTGTGGGCCGCGCTCGCCCGCATATCGTCGCTCGGGTGCTCATTTGTGGTCGCTGGTCGACAGGTCGGCGACGCCTTCGTGGCCGCCGAGACTGTCGTGTCGCAGGTGCCCGCCCCGTTCCAGTCGCTGTTTGTGCCAATGCCCGAGACGTCGTTCCGCAATGACATTTCGTCCACGGCGCTGCGCACGGCCAGGGATGCGTAGTGTGGATACGACAGAATTATAATAGCTTGGTCACCGTACACAATATACTACTGGGCGTGTTCTAGTCGAATGACGATTTAGCCGATGGTCAAGCCAAGGCCAAACTTGTGGGCATCGCCCTCGAAGTGCTTGGCGTCAATGTGGGCCGACGTCGTCAACGAGAGGAACGGCGTGACCTTCTGGATGCACGCAAGCGAGACAAAGCCGTCCGAGTTGATCTTGCCGGCGTACGTCGTCTCGGCGTTGGCCGTGTAGCGACCACCGAGCGTGACCGCGTTGGCCGCCGTCTGAACGTCGTAGTCGATCGACGCAGCGTAGATTGTCGACGAGCAGGGCTTGTGGTAGAAGTTGGCCGCGACCGTCTTCAAGCTCTTCTTCGAGGCAACCGACACCTGGTAGTCGGCGCCGCTGAAGGCGAGGGCACCGCCAAAGTCCGAGACCGCCGACTTCTCGACGTTGAACGCACCGTGGGCACCAATGGTGACGCCGCTGATGACCGAGACGGCCGCACCCGTCACGTTCTTGCCCGTGATGTCGGCCTCGACGTTGGTCGTGAAGGCGGCCTGCTTGTACTCAAGGCCGAGCTTGCCAACCTGCTTGGCGTTCGTCTTGCGCGAGCCGTCCTCGAGCTTGAACGAGACCTTGAGGTTGTCGACAATCGCGTTGGCAATGTCACCCTCGACAAGGACGCGGCCGGCCGTCGTGGCCTGGAGCTTGCTAATCGTCAAGCCGCCGACCTGGGGCACGCGGAAGCTGGCGCCGACCTTGGCCAGGATCGACTTGTTGGCGGCCATGGCGCCTTCGGTCGTGAAGGTCACGCCGTTGGCCGTCTTGGTCTTGATCTTGAGCTTGCGGCTGTAGTCGTAGTCGTCGCCGAGGACGTTCTCGGCCTTCTTGCTAATGTCCTTGTACAACGGCGCCGCCATGGTCTCGGTGTTGCTGCTCCGGTGGGAAATGCGGGAATGGCGACGACATACAAATTCGCAGTCAAGGACCACCCTGCGGCCCTGTCTTTTCGCCCGAGCTGGCGGCCCTCCGCCAACTGAACAGTCGCCCGCTCAAGTGCGACTCCCTCTCGCATCTGAACATTTCCCACGCATAAAGCACATAAACCACGGTGAGAAACGCCATTTGCCCGCCGTGTCGCTCGAAACATCGCGAAACGACCTTCTCTGTCATGGCACGCTTCGCAAGGTACATCAACGAGTTGGCAGCGGATGTTGCGCATCCCCAACGCCACATAGTATAGGCGATACGTGTCTCGTTAAATGCAAGTGCACGGCTGCAGGAATTCTTGAAGCGTCTCCGGTTGCATCTGGGCGGTGGCATCATCTCCGTCTTGTCGGAGGCAATGGGCAATGCTTCTCCATCTTGGTCACGCTCTGTGCGTCAACGGCAGTGTCGTGGCTTTTGTTCGGCTGGAACATTCGTTGACCCTTTCATTTCCCACATTCTTCACGTGAAGATCGCAGCGCGTACTAAGTACGTGGCTGGTATCGCACTTGCGAGAGCACCTCGCAGCGTAATCGAACGCAAATGAACTTCATTCGTTCTTGGAGGTTTGCCGCACGCTGCAACGCGGTGGGAAGGTCGACGGAAAACCTCTGAAAAAATATATTCCAATCTATTATTTTTGCAGAGGTATTAAAAGCTGCGTTTAAGCTGGCGATTTGTATGCGCTACCGTGTGGGGTGCAACAGCCTACGCGTGGGTGGCCAGCAGCGGTCAGTTTTGTCTTTTAGTCAAGAACCGCAGATATGTTCGCCCGCTTCGCTGCCCCGCTTGTCCGGTCCGTCGCCGCCAAGAGCGCGCCCCGCCGCTTCTTCGCGAGCCAGACCTTCCTTGACCGCAACGAGGTCAGCGAGCGCGTCCTCAGCGTGATCAAGAACTTCGACAAGGTCGAGGCCACCAAGGTCCAGGAGACGGCCAAGTTTGTCGAAGACCTCGGCCTCGACTCGCTTGACGTCGTTGAAGTCGTCATGGCCATGGAAGAAGAATTTATCATTGAGATCCCGGATAACGAGGCCGAGCGCCTCTTGACGCCGGCCCAGGTCATCGACTACGTTGCCGCCCACCCGATGGCCAAGTAAATACACGACTAGTCTTACGCTTTGCCAATACTATGTACCTCACGACTGTGCGTTGTTGTGTACTTGTTTGTGCTTGTTATGTTAGACGACTGCATGCGAGACGACTAGGACGACTGCCGCAGCTTGTGCAACAAATCCTTCATCTGGTGCTTGATCACAGGCTGGCCCGTCTTGGTGCGCAGACTCAGCTTGACATGGCGCTTCTTGCGCGCGACGATCTTGGACTGCTTCTCCTCGAGCTTGGCTTCGATCGCCTGGCGCTTGGCTTGGCGCTCGTCCCGCACGCCCTGCGCCTTGCGCTTGGCCTTGAAGAGCGGATCGGGCTTGCGCGCCTTGTCGCTCTCGTCCCGCGGCGCCTTCTTCGCCGGCCGGTCGCCGTCGTCGCCATCGTTCATCGACGCAAAGAACTAGACGCCATGAGCTACCACGTTCATCACGACAACGACGCGTTGTACCTTGTCATAGAAGGACGGTCCACCGCCCGCTTTCGCCGGCACCTCTTCGCGCTCCTTGACCTTGCGGTACGTGCGCAGCAGCACAGCCTTCTCAACGCGGCGCCGCTTCCCGCCCGCGCTCTCGCTCTTGAAGTTGGTCGGCCGCGCCTTGCCGCGGATGAAGCGCTCCAAGCTGAGGCCACTGCCCTTGGCCTTCCCGCCCTTGCTGCTCATCGAAACTGATTTCTCACTTGATGCCACCAACCAACACAGCGCATAAATAGTGTACCCATAAAGTCTATATTTAGTATCAACGCTATTTACAATGTTTTATACTATTTGGCACTCATGTGTCAAGATGTACCTAGATAGTGTACATCGACAGTGGCGCTGTTTCCCAAATATCAATGTATCGAGCACCGAGCCAGGGTTCGGTCTCTTCCACGAGAGCGTGCTCGAACACAGGATCGACTTTGCCAGAGCAGAGCACCAACGACGTACGACACCTCTAAGATCTTCGAGGACTTATAGGCCCTCGGTAGCGCTACGCTCTTGGTGGACTTGGCTATACGTTTGACGGCATCACCTTACTACGCAGGGTCTAATCGTCTTCATCATATTATCATCATCTATTTACTTGTAGTGCTTGGCCTTCTTGAAGGGCTTCTTGTGCTTGGACGTGTTGGCGCGCGCAGCCTGGATGTCGTTAAACTTGCGCTTCGTATACGACCGGATCGCTTGGTCATGCATGATTTCTTCCGTGAACGTCTGCTGGCGCTCCTTGCGCGTGAGGCGGTTCGACTTGTACTCGGCTGCGCCCTCGATGACGGTGCCGACCTGGAACACTTTGGGGAGGTTGCCCTTCTTGTGGTCGCTCGACTATCGCCACTGCGTTAGCGCCAGGGATCCAAAGGCAAATGTATACCTTGTAGAAGCGCTTCGGGTCGAGGTAGTTGCGCATTTTGATGAGCTGCATGTCGCGCTTTGCTTCGTCCGTCATCTCGTTGGACGTCATGTTGAACCACTTGCGGCTCGATTGGAGACGGTCCTGCGACACCTTCTTCTCATGCGCGCCCGAGTTGGCCGCGTCCATCTTGGCCTTGTACGCGGCCTGCTTTTGCAGCTGCGACACCTCTTCCGTCAGCTTGCGCTCCGGCACGAGCTCCGCGCCGCGCGCGCACTTGCGGCCGTTGAACTTCATGTACAGATTGTCATACGACACGCCGCTCTCGAGCGTGCTTGAGACCAGCGCCAGCGGCGCATCGGATGTCGCGGTCGCCGCAGCATTCGTCGGCGGCGGCGGAGCCTGGAAGCTCGCCATGGCCATGCCCACCTACGAGAGTGTTCGATATATCCGTGGGCGAAGAATCCATGAATGCGTACCAGTGCATTGAGGTCGTCGTCGTCATCCTCTTCCATATCAGCGTCGGGGGCGGCGTCGTCGGCTGCGACCGGCGCCATCGCGATATGCTCGTCGTCGTCCGAAGCCGGCGCCATCGCGATATGCTCTTCGTCGGCTTCTTCGTCGTCCGAGGCAGAGGCCATCGCAATGTGTTCATCTTCCTCGACCGCCGACGCTTCGTCCACGACCTCCTCTTGCATAGCAGCTTCCGTCGCCTCTTCCGCCGTGTCGGCTTCGTCGCCCATCGACTCGTCCGCCGTCGTCTCGTCGGCGGTTGCTTCTTCGGCCGACATTACGTCTTGGATGGATTCGGCTTCGATTTCCGCTTCTTCAGCCGACTCAGTACCGTCAGCAGCAAAGTCTTCGGCGGATTCGGTCTCCTCGGCTGAGACCACTTCTTCGTGGGCCGAGACCTCTTCTTCCTGGGCAGACGCCTCGTCCTTGGCAGAGATGTCGGCAACAACAGCCTCATGACGCGCCTCCAGCTTCGTTTCATCAGCAGCCGTCTCAAGGACCGTCACATCGTCTTCCGAGACGATGTCGATGACCTCAACCGGAGCGCCTTGCTTGGCCGCATCATCCTCCGCGGCTTCCTTCGCGGCGACTTCCTGCGCCACTTGCGCGAGCGCGTCAATGTCGGACTTGGACAAGGATGCGCGGGTCACGCGCTTGCCGCGCGTGGCGCGGGCCTTGGGCGCAACGTCGTCAGCCGCCTTCTTGGTCGTCTTCTTGGTGGCCTTGGCCTCGCTCTTGACGGTCTTGGCCTCGCTCTTGACGGCCTCGGCTTCCTTCGGCGCGTCAGTGGCAGCCGCAGCCTTGCCGCGGGGCGCGCGCCTCGGAGGCGGCGAGGCCGACGCCGTCGACTCGGTCCCACCCAGGGACAGACGCAAGGACCGGCGCGTGGCGACCATGGATACGATTCTCTTTTGCTCCAACAGGACTATCAACCAGTCAAATTCGTCCAATCCTAAAATACCGTGTCTTTCGATACGGGATATATCATGTTTCAGAGGTTTTTCGCGCGCTTCAACTTGTGCAAATCAACAAGGTCGAGCTTGTGGCGCTCGTTCCTAAGGCTTCCGCCATTTCTTCCGTCGTCGCTCCGCCAACTCGTTAGAAATAAGACTAGCCATGTCTCATGTATAACGTGCATAACCTACGGCTGCTAGAACTAGAAAGCGAGAAGCAAGACCACTACGATTCCGTAAGGGAACGCATTCCCGAACACTCGTCACTTACTCCACCTACTAACGTTGCAGCTTGCAAGCAGTGTCAGCGCTATCTGGAGGGCTGCGCATCCGTGTCCTGAGCTGCTATGTTGCACACATCGACGGCTATCACAGTGCTTTGAGAGAGCATCTGCAACCCGCTCTGGCTCGCATGCAACGGCAGGACCACCCCGCGACGAACGCACTCGGATCGTCCAAGCCGCGGGGCAGAGCGGGCGCAAGAATCGTTCACATACTCCGGCTCGCAGGTCGTTCAAAAGACCGTCGTCGCATACCAAGTGTACACGACCTGCCAGAAGTATGTCGTCACGACAACGGCGTGGGGTACATGCAGGCCACCATTCCTCGATAGCATGAGTCACTGGCAAATCTCGAGGACCTCAAGAAACTGATATATATTCATGGTAGCATGCTCATGGTGGTAGATGCGCTCGGCACAAAATGCAGCGCAAAGCCACTTTTGAAGCCAAGGGCCTCAGCTACACCAACTCCTGACGGTATCGACGAGGTCACGCGAGCCGTGGTCTCGGATGAAAACACTTCCTCGGTGGTCATTGTCGGCGTACGTGGCGATGACGTCAACGATGTGCACTCGGATCCATGGACTGGTACGAGCGATGCTGGTGTCGGCATGGGCTACTGCAGCTGAGGGATGGATTTGCGAGTACGCTACTTTAACGACACGTCAGTTCGGTTTTGCGATGCGATTGAAGCTGCCACTATGTGTCGCATCAGCGGCGATGCTGTCGAGACCGTACTCGAGTCAAGGCTCGAGGCGGTGCGCTAACCTGTTGGATATTTCTGCGTCTGCGAGTCAACTATGGTATGACAAATCAACATGTGCAATGGCTGTCGTGACCACGAGGACGTCGTCGGTTTCAACATTCTACTATGTATGACCCGTCTAACTTTGAATTGAAATGCAACCGAGCCGAGCATGGCGCGGCCTCCTTCGCCTGCTGCATGGTATCTCGTGCCTCTACTTTGGCTTTCTCTCGATCTTTCACTTCATCGCCAACGACGGGGAGGTCGTCTCCCTCGACGGCTACGCTATGTTACCGAGTGGCGTCATGTTTGGTGTCATCGCGCTCCTGCATCTCTACCCTTTGTGCTCGTTCCAAACCGCTCGCGTCGATCCCATCGTGATGCGACCAACATCGCGCTGCTCGTTCGAGCACTGGACAGCTCAGTGGCCCGTCCCCGACAACATTCAAGTGTGCCTCAACCACTTCATTGCCATTGGCTGCGAGACGCATTTGGCCTACAAGATGGCACGATCGCTCGCGCAGACCGAGGTTGCCTACTTGTACGCGATCACGCTCGCAATCAATTGCCTCTGTACGTCGTGGCTTCTCCTGCTCAAGCGCGCCAAGTCCAAATTGCAGCTCATTGGGCTCATCGACTGCGTCATGTCGACCGCTTTGACGGCGGGATTCCCCCTCGTGTTTTTCGCTGCGCCTATCATGCAGTACAGGTTCTTTGGGAATCACAACGTGCGCCACAGCTTTAATTGGCTCGCGCTCAACGTGCCGCCGTCGCGCTTGCTCGTGACGTCATCGAGCTCGGACTTGGTTGTCAAGACGCTCTTGGCCGTCACCAACTTTCTTGTGCTGACGCGCCTGCGTCACATCAAGAAGAGCACGCCACGGCCGCTGCTGCGCACCAAGAGCTGGAGTCGGCGCCGATTCTCCGTCACGGTCAAGCTCGTCGACGGACCGCGCGTCAGCTCGAAGCTCCCGTCGATGCGCAACGTCTCTGTCTCGATGCGGCTTCGAGGCGTACCGCATCTCAGTTCCATCTCGATCGAAGTCGCCAAGGTGGCGTGGGAAGTCAGCAAAGACCACTTTACGTGGGAGCAGAAACACCAGAATGTCGTGCTCGCGGCGCTTCTTCTTGATCTTTTGTGGGGTGGCGCCGTTCTTCTCGTGGCGACGCTCGCGGTCTTTCATCGGGACGCGTGCCCGTCCTACTGCGAGCAAGTGGCCGCGCCATGGTTCACCAACGACTGCCGATGCGTCTACGTCCGCCTCCACTGCGTCCGCGATCACATAACCGACAGCTCTTCGGTCGACGCCTATTTTACACGTGCGCGTCTTGGCCCGGACCTCTTCCTTCTGCATGTGCAGCGGTGCGACATCCCTTATGGCTTGAACGCAACGACGACGTCCCAGTTTACAAACCTCTATGGTCTCTGGCTTGAACACACGGCGCTGCGCGAGTGGCCCGTGACATCGAAAGCACTGCCACCGTCGACGATGCTTGTGCATCTTCGCCACGCCCCGTACTTGACGTTGCTGCCCGAGGTGCTATCGGCGCCGCCACCGACACTTCGGTTTTTGTATGTGGCTGAGTGCCCGCTAATGACGATAGCGGGCGCCGTGTTTCAAAATTGGACCAACTTGCTCTCGCTGCGCCTGGTTGCGATGGGCTTGACCACGCTGCCACCTGAAATCGGCGACCTCCCCATCGTCTCCTCGATCGATGTCGGCTACAACCGTCTCACCGCGCTCCCGCGAGAGCTCGACAAAATCACAGCGCGCTTGTTCGAGCTGTACCTGGACCAAAACGCCCTCTTGGAGTTTCCTCTGTCGGCGCGATCGAACTACCCCAAGCTCGAGGTGTTTTTGAACCGAAACCCGATTCCATCTCTATGCAGCGATGGCTGTGCGTGGGGCCGCCTCGACATGACCAACACCCTCTACTGCAATACAACGACACAAAGCGGCGTCTGCGGCACCGACTGCGCGAGCGCCTGTAGCCACGGTCGTATCACCGACTACTTTTGCGACACGGCGTGCAACACGTCGGCGTGCGCCTTTGACGGCGGCGACTGTCTTTTCTAACCGACGTAGAATGCTGCCACTGTAGACAAGTAGACGGTTTAATCGTCAACCTCGCGGCGTTTTCCAGCGGTTTGGTTGAAACGCAGTTGAGAATGTGCAGTGCGACCGGATCGTCACGCCATATTGAGGGCCTTTGCCCATGCAGACGTTCCTGATGTGGGCAAGACCCACACCCAACGTGCTTTGATTATCAAGACGGCAATGACGCGCACGTCAAACGCGGCTGCGAATGAGACTATCACAGATTTGTGGTCTTGACGCTAAAAATCACAATCGCCGCCGTCAAAGGCGCACGCTGTCGTGTTGCAACCGAGGTCGCAGAGGTAATTGCCAACAAAGGGCATGCCGCAGCTCGGCGCGCAGTCTTCGTAGCATGCTGAAGTCATCGGCGTCGCAGTGCAGAACGGCGTAGAGGCAACGTGCACCGAGCGACCCACGATCTCTGCAATCGTCGCGATCGGGTTGTGGTTGAGCGAGAGCAGGAGGTTCGGTTTGGCTCGCAACAGCGTCGACGGAAAGATGCGAATGGCGTTGTTGTGCAAATAGAGCGTTCGAAGCAGCGGCAGCGCGCCAAGTTCAGTCTCGGGGATGTCTGCGATCTGGTTGCTGCTCAGATCCAGAATCTGGAGCGATGTCATTTGTGCTATGTCTCTCGGTCGCACGTGCGGAAGTGCGTTATCGCCGAGCCAGAGCGAGAGAAGGTTGGTCCAGTTCGCATAGACGTCACTGGGAATATCCACAAGCTTGGGGTGTCCCACAAGGAAAAGCCAGCGCACGGACGGCGGCATCGAGCGCAGAATGTAAGGCACCGACGCGAGTTGGCTGTAGCGCACATCGATGAGCATCACCGACGACGGGAGCGAGGTCCCTGGAACGTCCCACCGCGCCAACTGCGTCATCTCCAGCTTGAGGGCATACAGGCTCTGAAATTGCGACAAGGTTTCGAGCGCAAGACCGTTGGGAACTGCGCAGCGCTGCAGATGCAGAAACACGAGGTTCGGGCCAACGATGGACGCATGAAAACGGTTGTCGACGCTGTCGTTGGCTTCGATGCCAGCGTCGCGGCAGTTGAGAAGGGCGTAAATGCAGTTGCACTCGGTGGTAAACCACGGCGCCGATGCGTACACGCAGTAGTCGGGGCATGGTGACCGAAGGTAGAGCGCCCGCACCGACGTGACGGCCACGGCGACACCCCATAGCACATTACATGCGAGCACGATCTTCAGTAGCCGTCCGTGGCGCTGCTGAAGCGTAAACGCGCGCCACCCTGTGGGGATGGTCCCCCGCGGCGGTCCCAGTGCGTGATGGCGCTTGTAGCGCAAGGAGGCCGACACGCGTCGCAGTACGCCAAAGTTGGTGACGCCCGGCACAACGCGCAGCGCGAGCACCGGCAGCGACGACACGCACAAGGTCCGCGACGTCGAGTAGATTTGCGCATACCAGTGCAAACTATGGGCAATGTCGCGGCTCGAGACAAACACAAATCGAATGAGCGGCAAAAGCAAAAAGAAGAGCGGAAACCCAGCCGACAGCGCAAATGAAATCGCGCTGTCAAGGAGATTCACCCACACGAGCTTGGAGCTCGCATCTCGCAGAAAGAGAAGCCACGTGGTGCAGACGCAGTTGAGCACAAGGAGCGACGCGTACAAGCCCGCAAGGTGCGGGTTCACGATCCGGCACGACATGTCGTACGCGGTATACGTCTCGCACGAAATGGCCACGAAATGACCAAGTGCAATCTGGACGTTGGTCGATGGCACGAGGCTTTTTGGCCACCATCGAGAATGCGTGCGATGGCCTTGGCGGGCGCAGGCTCTGGCACAGCGCTGCTGCACGCGTAATGGCAGAAATGGCCAGCAGTGCAAGACGCCCGTGAGGACGAGGAGCGCGCCGGACGGACCGCTGGCGTAGCTGCGCATCGCCACGCGCATCCCGAGGTCGAGCGTGAGGTGCATGGCGCCGAGAAGACCAAAGTAGACAAACGTCATCAGATGCTGCACGTAGACCCAAACGAGCAGCGGCCGGCGAAAGCGGGCGCCCCATTTGACTTCGAGGTCCATGGACGTGGCGAACCGGCTCAGCCGCCGGAGCGCGCTGGACATAATTGTCGTAACTGTCACGTTCAAAAACGAAATGCCGAGCGACTGCCTGTCCGAGAACACGTGAATCGACGGCGCTGTCGGCGTGCAACCTGCCTCAAGCTGCACTCTTGGTGTCGATGGGCTATTGGAAAGTGAATGAGCAGAGTTAGTTCGAGCTAGCTACACCTAACCTGCTCCTTCTTCTAGCTGCAGTTGACTATGGAATACCAACTTGAGCTGAAGGGCGCTGTCAGAGAACGCGCATCGCGCTGCGGCTTCCGTTACTGGGCGGCAGCCGCGCTTGTGTTACGTGTCGTTGCACGTTGACGCAGTAGCCGAGGTCGTCGTGCGGAGACTGGTCGGGGTGGCAAGAAGCTGCTCGCATGTTGGTGGTGTCAGTAAAACATGTGTTCCAACGCATGGTAGTGGAGTCTTTAGTCTGTATAAAGTTTTCAATCCATATTCTATCCTATTACACATGTCTGCTCTATCCAATTTCATAGCAGCAGTTTACCATCGTAGGTGGCGCGCTTCTAGTTGGCGTCAACCAACAACGAACGTTCTAATCTTGTGCTCGATACAAAGCCATGTCGCCTTTGCTAACAAGCCAAGAAATACAGAGTTGTATACGTGCTTAGGTACCCTAGAGCAACTCGAGGTCGGCATTATTTTCACATGTCGTCGACTTGGTCGCCCCTTCGGATCGCGAGCTGCTTGCGGTACGTGACGGCCCACGTCTCGGACCGCTCGCGCTCGCACTGCGTGACGGTGCTGTAGTCGAGCTGTACAAGCGACGGCATGTGGTAGATCGTGTACACACGGTAGTGCTTCTTCTCTTCCACGGGGTTGCCATGGAGCGTGAGCTGGCGCAAATGCACGAGGCAAAAGAGCGCGTCAATGTCGGCGTACGCGCAGAGCTTGTTTGCATGCATATGCAAGGTCGAGAGTTGCGTGTAGCGCGCAAAGACGGTTTTGGGCAGCTGCGCAATCGCGTTGCCGCTGAGGTCGATCCACTGGAGGCGCGTCGGGTCTTCAAACACGCCACTGAGCGCGGCGTCGAGATCGTCGATCGACGTCAAGCCATTGTCGTTGAGCCGAATCGAGACGGGCGGCGTGTACACCTCGCCGCCGACAATTTTGGCAGCCGTCTTCTTGTGCTACGAGTGACGACACCGTGCGTATGATACTTGCAGGACTTGGAGGTGGTATACCACTTTGCCCGTGTCGTCGGTTGTGAGTCGCTTCCGCCCCGAGATCGGATCTTCCTTGACAATATCTGTCGTATCAGTCATCTCGTTGAGATGACTTGAGATGAAATTTGCTGAGAAAGGACGACGCACCGAGGATGGAGTTGAGGTTCATGAAGGAAAAGTCGAGGGGAATGTCCGGAAGCCGGGCCTTGATTTCTTTGACCGTCGGCGCAACCTTGCGCGTCGGTGACCCGGGCGGGGACGCCGGTGCGGTCGTCGCTCGGACGCTCGCCTTGGACGGCGATGCGGTCATAGGCTTTTCCATTGCAGGTGTTGCGAAAAAATGTGAAGAGAGGTTACGCCGTTTCAAGAACCAATGGTCGACGGTCCCGCGCTCTTTGGTGGCCGGCGGCTCGTCACGGCGTCCAATGACGTCCGCGCCATCTACGAGCTCTCGACAAAGGAGACCGTGTCTGTGCTGTCGTACAACCTCATGCGCCAGCTGCACGCGACGACCAAGTACAAGCCGTACTGTGCCGAGTACATACTGGGCAGCACGCGTCGCAAGGACCAGCTCCTCGCGTTCGTGCTTGACATCATCTGCTTGGGTTCCATACGAACTGTAGAGAAATTACCGCCTACGACGCCGATGTTGTATGCTTGCAGGTCGCGCCACCTTGCATCGAATGCGCAGAATATAGGATTCATGTGTCGTAGGAAGTCGACGACTACGAATTGTTTTGGATCCCTGCGCTCAACGCACTCGGCTACGATAGCGTGTACCATTGTCGACCGGGTGACCATGACGACGGGCTCGTCATTGCGTTTCGGCGGCTCAATTTTCAGATTTTTCGAACGCAGCGTATCGAGTTTAACGACCTCGTGGCCCAGACGCGCCGCGAGAACCTCGCGGCCAAGCTCGAGCAAGACAACATTGCTCTCTTTGTCGCACTGCAGCCTTGGGAAACCTGTGCATTTCCGAGCCCTCTCTGCATCGGTACGGTGCTTTTGGCGAACAAATCTCGTCAGAATTACGCTAGTCAACGTACAACTCGCAAGCCACCGGGACCACGACGTCGTGCGGGACCTCCAGTTGCGGTATCTGCTTCCGCAAGTCGAGGCGTTCAACGCTGACTTTCAAATGCCCATCGTCGTTGCTGGCTCGTTCAACGCCCGCCCCAGCGACGACGTCTACCACGTGATGCGTACGGGGCGGGCGCGGCCGGCGCCGGCTCCTCCGACGCGCATGGCGCCACCGGTTCTAAGCGATGCGACAACGAGCACGCTTGTTCTTTCGTGGGAGGCGCCAATCTCTGTGGTGCGAGAGACGTCGACGAAGGGTTTGTCAAAATGACGCCCGTAGGACGGTCCGGTGCTCGCGTATCGAGTCGACCGCCGCGTAAACGGCAGCACGACTGTCGGGTTCACACATGAAGTCGTGCTGGACGATGTGACCACGTCACACAAGATGACGATGCTCAGTGCTGGCACCCAGTACGAGTTTCGCGTCGCGGCCAAAAATGCATTTGGCTGGAGCGCGTACAGCCCGCCGTCGGCCCCGTTTCAGACGCTTCAAGTACGTTGCTTGTCTCGATACCGAGTTGACGCTTTCGATAGGGCCGGCATCATGCGTGGCGGGGCCGCCCCCCCGTGGTCCCCCCCGCCGATGACGACGAGTTGAGCAACCCTTTTAAAGTATGCGTATTGCACGACGGAGCGCGACTGACCGATTGTCGGCGATGGGTAGCTGTCGTACTGCTCGGGCAAGACGCCTCGCTTCATTGATGGTACGGTGCACGACCAGCAGTGTCCGCGCCCGAGCCGTCTCGAGCCCGACGATGCAATCTACGAGACGCTGCAGTTCCGCGGTGACCGGGAAGACGGTTTGCTGCACTTTGAGGTCTTTGAGAGCGCGTACGGCCGCTACAGCTACGGCGGCGAGCCCACGTGTACGTACGTCACGGAAGCGTGGACCGGCACGGTCGATTATATCTTTTTCACAAAAAAAGTACGGCCGCCAACATCACAAAGCCGGGTCGACCTAAATGCCGTAGGAGTTGGCGCCATTCCGGCTGCTGACGCTGCCGCCACTCGGCACCTTGGTTGGTGACGATGTCCGCGAGTCCTCTACGATTGTCGACGCCGGTGCACCTATTTTTCATTGTCGACAGCAAAAGGACAATTGTGAGATAGACTATGCGGCGTTCATCCCACGCGACTGGGACAGCCGTGTGAAAATTGGCGACCATAGTAACCCCAAGTACTCTGGCGCGTGGCCGCCTAGCGTCTTCCAGCTGCCCAACCCGAAACGACGCCATTACTGGCTGCCCAACGAGACGTTTGCGTCCGACCACTTTGCGCTCTTGGTTGTGCTTGCTTTTCGCGACGAAGAGCTGTCGACGTCATGGAACTAATCACATATTTTACAATTCGTCTTGAGAGGCGAGGGCCTTGCGGCACGGCTGTAGCTGCAGCGTCGGACTCACTTTGGTCGAGTCGCTTGGCACCCGCGACGAGTACCCGCGGTTGGGCGGCAACGGTGCATATCGCTTGCAGTGGTCGTCGTCGTGCGCCGGGTCACAGCGAAAGTGCACCTCGGGCGGCCACGGCGCAAAGTCGGCGACTGCCCAGAACCCGCCATGGCGGTAGACACGAAAGTCGCTGTCGACGTCGTCGTCGGCATCGTCGGCACGCGTAAACACGGGCGCGTTATCGGCGGTCGTGACACCGTCTGTCTCGTACAGGCCGTTGAGCGCTGGAACGCTCGAGCCGCAGACGTAGAACGCCGACGTCTTGTCAGTGGCGGCGGCCGTCGCCGCAAGCATCGACGTGCAGAGCAGTCGTTGGAGCATGCCACGCGTTTGATGCTCGATGCTGGAGATCGCCAAATGATACGCAGTGGATCGCGACGCTTCAAGATACCGGATCTTGAAGCGGTGTGCCCCGGTGCACAACTAACGCAGTCGACTATTTGGTCGGGACATGCTGGGTACGTGCCCTGGCCGACGTACACAGTACGGGTGGGTACAAGGCTTCGTGTTGCCTGTGTGGGTGGCGTCGATGGGCAGCACATGCGCATGGTGCGTGCGATGGCTTCTTCGTCCGACCACTCTTGTTCGAGGCGCGCGCTGATTGGTTGAATCGGTATCTTTCGATGGCGCCAAAGACAAAACAAAGAACGTCGTGATGTTCCAAACGTGAATTTTGCTCGTCGCTCACAGAGAGTATCGAGCTTGGATGCGGCGACGACTTGTGGAATTGCTGGCGCTGCTGGCGGCGTCCACCGCCGCCTTTGTGTGCGAGCCTGGCTTTGGCTACGAGGCGTCAACGTGCATCGAGTGCCGCGCTGGCAGCTGGAACGACGGGTCCCAGGAAGCGTGCCAGCGCCCGTCGCTGTGCTCGTTGGGCCAAGGCCCCAAAGCCGGTGCTGTCAACGCGACCGACTGCATGAACTGCCCCGCCGGCTACTACAGCGACAACGACGACGAGACGCCGTGCAAGATCATCCAATGCGCGCCTGGTTTCTTCAGCGATAAAATCGCCGCGGTGGACGCCACGAGCTCGTGCGTTGCTTGTGCCCCGGGGTCCTTCTCGACGGGCGAAAACGACGTGTGCCACGCGTGCGCTGTTGGCACGTATGCCGGCCACGGTCAAGGCGCGTGCTTGCCCACGCAGTGCCCGCCAAACACCTCACCGCAGACGAATGCAACGACCGCCACCGACTGCGATGTGTGTGCCCCGGGATTCTTCAGCCCCGGCGGCGACCACACCTGCGAGCCCATGATCTGTCCATCGGGCTTTGAGCCCAGCGCGACGCCGCGTGCCATCGACGACTGTCGGCGCTGCGCTGGCGGTCAATTTTCGACCGGGGGCATTCAAATGTGCGCCAATACGACGTGCCCCCGGGGCACATATGCCCCGGATGGTGCCAGCGACGCCACTGAAAGCTGTGAAACGTGTCGTGCTGGGTACGCTAGATATCTCAAATCGCGATTGGACAAGTTGTCTGACGTTTGTCTTACATCCTAGTTGGGTCTCGCTTGGTGGCACGACGAGCGAATGCACACAGTGTGGTAATGGTACCTTTGCTCAAAGTACCGCCAAGGATGACATCGGCGCGTCAGCGTGTACGCCCGCGACGTGTGCCCCGGGCCACTATGCGCCACCGGCGTCCACCAGCGCTTCAGACGACTGCGTACCGTGCGCGTCGGGCGCGTTCTCCATCGGCAATGACGCGACGTGTAAACCTGTTGACTGCCCCGGTGGCACTCAACCCCACGCTGCGGCGGTGAACGCGACGGACTGCAGCGTCTGCCCGCGCGGCTACTTCTCAGCCGGCGGCACGACTCCTTGCGCCGCTGCCACGTGCCCGCGCGGAACCCAAGCCGATCTGGGTGCGACCAAGAAGGACCAATGCACGCCATGCCCGTCGGCGCAGCATTCCACCGGTGGTAGTGGCTTGTGTATGAGCCCGCAGTGCGACCCGGGGTACGAACCGAACGCCGACGGAGAGACGTGCTCGATCTGTGCGGCGGGGACGTTCTCGGTCGGCTACGGTGCGTCCTGCCGCCCGACGACGTGCCCAGCCTCCACCGAGAGTTTTCAAGGTGCGTCCGACGCGATCGCCGACTGCGTGCCGTGTGATGCCGGGTTTGCGTCTCCTGGTGGCCAAGCACGCTGCTCGCGGTGCCCCGTGGGGACGTTTGCGTCCGTGGGCTCGGCTGAGTGTGCCCCAACGACGTGCCCCGGCGGGTACGAGCCCAAGCCGCAGCCGATGCATACGAGCGACTGCGTGCCTTGTCTCGATGGCTACTTTAGTGCGGGCGGCAACGCCACGTGTCAGCCCGCGACGTGCGCCCCGGGGTCCACTGCCAAAGCCAATGCCACCGCCACCGACGATTGCGTGCGCTGCGCTCCGGGGAAGTATGGTCGTGGTGGCGCCACGCAGTGCAAGGAAGCGGCGTGCAAGCCGGGGCACGGGACACCGCATGGCGCGACGAACGCAACGACCGACTGTGAACCCTGTGGCGCGGGGGCGTTCGGTGCCGGCCGCGGCGACGCGTGCGCGCCCACAGCGTGTGCCCCGGCGTTTAGCTCCAATGCCACGACTGCCACCGACGCGACGTCGACCTGTGACTCTTGTCCGATTGGCTCGTACTCGACTGGGGGCGCGATGCAGTGTACGCCGATGCAGTGCCCTCCTGGGAGCGCGGGCAAGCTCGGCGCCACGCACGCGACCAACGACTGTGCGTCGTGCCCCGACGGGCACGCGTCGAGCGGGAAAGCGTCCGCCTGCGTCGAGTGCAAGCGCGGTTTCTTTGCGGCAGCCGGTGACGCTGTATGCGCGCCAGCAACCTGTGCCCCGGGGTCGCAAGCCAATGTTCTTGCGGTGCACGCGACTGACTGCACGGGGTGCCCGCTGGGCACGTACGCCAAGGGCGGGTCGGACGTCTGCGCGCCAGTCCCGTGTGCCCCGGGCCTCTTTGCGCCAGAGCAAACCGACCGGTGCGAGGTGTGCAAGCCAGGCAGCTACTCGAACGGCTCGTCGGTGTGCAAGCCGGCGCTGTGCCCGCCCGGCCAAGCCTCCAAGAACGGATCGACGTCCCCGACCGACTGCGACGACTGCCCGGTTGGGTACTTTGGCCTAGGCCAAAACCAGCCGTGTCGCCCGACAACGTGCCCGGACGGCTATGCGTCTGCGACCAAAGGCGCGCATCTCGAACGTGGCATGTGCCAGCTCTGCCCCGTCGGGTGGTACAGCCCCGGTGGCGCTGCCCAGTGTGCGCCAGGAACGTGTCAACCCGGCTGGTATCTCCCGGAAGGCGCGGGCACGTGCCAAAGCTGTCGGCAAGGCCAATTTAGCCTCGGAAAAGACAAGCCCTGCAATGATACCCAGTGTCCTGCGGGCATGGCAGCCCCCGCCGCCGCGGACAGCGCTACGGCGCGCTGCGTGAAATGCCCCGCTGGATTCTTTAGCCCTGGTGGGACCGTCGACTGTGCGCCATGCACGTGTGCACCCGGGTTTGGCTCTAGAGAAGGTATGTCTCCAGTTGATTTGCTCAGTTTGTATTGACGAACGGCGTAGGCGCCAACTCGACGACTGGTAGCTGTGGGCAATGCCAAGCTGGCTTATACTCCCCCGGCGGCAGCGCTCCATGCAAGACCATGACGTGTCCGCCAGGATCCTCGTCGGCGGCGCTAGGGGCGTCGACAGAACGGGACACGTGCAAGGTCTGCGCCGGTGGCTCGTTCAGCCACGGCAATGCGACCCAGTGCCAGCCGACGCAGTGCCCACCCGGGTCATTCGCGCCGCCGGGCGCCGTCGATGTGGTGACCAACTGCACGGTGTGTGCAGCCGGCCAGTTTTGCGAAGGCGGCAGCAAAGGCACGGGCGACACGATGTGCCAACCCGGGTTTGCGTCGCCTCCTAACGCGCACTCGCCGAAAGATCAGTGCTCGGTGTGCCCTCAAGGCACCTTTAGCATCGGCGGCACGTCGCAGTGCGAGCCGACGACGTGTGCCCCGGGCACCGCGGCGCCTGCTGGCGCCACCGACGCCAAGGATGAGTGCACCAAGTGCGCCGCAGGCACCTTCTCACCTGGTGGCGCGGTGGCATGCGTCGGCCCCACAACGTGTGCCCCGGGGTCGGCGTCCCCGGCCGCCGCCGCCACGACCAATGGGTCGTGTGCGCTCTGCCCCATTGGCTACTTTAGCCCCGGTGGCGCTGTGCAGTGCAAGATAACGGTGTGCAAACCAGGCTTTGGCTCGGCGCAAGGCGCGTCGTCATCGGACGGCAACTGCACGCAGTGTACCCCGGGGCACTTCTCGCCGGGCGCTGGCTTCGACTGCGCCCCCATGGCGTGCCCGCGCGGATGGGCGTCCAACTTTACAGGTGCGTACCGCAGCATTCACCGCTGCGAAACGTGCGCCGCGGGGTTCTTCTCGCCTGGCGGTGCGGCGCAGTGCAAGCCGACGACGTGTCCACCGGGGTACAGCTCTCCCGAGGTACATCATTCCTTGCTTCCTAATCGCAGAGTGTATCACTGATTGTAGGGAGCCGATGTGAGCGACCGCCAGTGCTCACCGTGTAGCCCGGGGTTCTTTTCAAAAGGCGGCACCGACCAATGCAAACCGGCGTCTTGCAAGGCGGGCAGCGCAGCTCCGCAGGGTGCGACGGCACCCACCGACTGCCTCACGTGTGCGACCGGCTTTTACTCGACGGGCGGCTCCACAAAGTGCATTGCGTGCGGCTGTGCCCCGGGCACGACATGCCACGCGTCTACTGCGTCGACGTGTGCGGCCTGTCCGGTGTCGACCACGACCAGAAACAGCTACGGCGGTTGTGTCGCGAAACAGCGGGCAACCAACTACGTTAGCGCCGTCTTGACGCTTGGCGGGTACACCCCGGGGTACGTCGGCCCCGTGCTTCTCGATGCGCTCCGCAACGCGCTTCGGTCGCTCTCGGGCGCCACAAGCGTCGAAGTTCGCAACGTCGAGGCGGCGCCGCCCGCCGATGTGGACGCCTTTGCTCTTGGCGGCAGCGTCATCAGCCTCCACGCCGCCGTCAACGAGAGCACCCAAAGTGCGGTGCTAGCGTCGCTCCAGGTACGACGCTTCCCATTTCGTATTGTTTTAGCATTGGCTGCATACATTAGGCGGCGAATGCAAGTCTGCTGCAGCAGCAACTGCAGTCCGACGGCTGGAGACGCGTTAGCGCGATTACTCTTACTAAAGTTGTTGCGCTGTACCAAGGCGTGCCGGTGCGCTTTGTCCTACGCAGCATCCTCGACGCTCATCAGAGTCGTGGATCGTAGGTACCGACGACGACGAGCGCGTCACCGACCACGGCACCGACCACGGCACCGGGTAGTACGGCTCCGCCGAGTGGGTCCCCCATAGCGGCACCCGACACCAACACTGCTGCTGCGACCAACGAGCCATCGGTGCAACATGTGACCAAGTCGAGCGCGCATTCCAACGTCATCAACCTCGTCGCATGCATCACCACCACCATCGTGGTGCTGCTGGGGCTCGAGGCATAGTCGATTTTGGCTCGGACGCCGCCGTTTACAATACATTTTTCTGTCTTAAGTTTCATGTTGTTTCCTGTTCGAAATGTCTTCTCAAGACAATATATAGACTATGCTACTAACTTTTATTATCCATTCTAGACAATTTGCCATCTTGTGGGCGGATTTTTTTTAGCAAAAGAACTCTATATACGATTAGATTGCTTTTGCATATGTCAAATCTGGGAAGACAACGACGCATGGCGTGTTACCCTAGACCAACAGTACATGAAATAGCTCCTATACACAACTCTTGCCCCCCACGGACGCGTTGCCGACAACAAGCTGCTGTGCTGGACGGTATTTCGAAGTGGTACGCTGCTCAATCGCGACTGTGGTCATATTCGAGAAGGATTCCGAGTTATTCGCTTAGAAAAGTAGAATGACAAAACTCTAAACTCTAGGCGTCGCTACATGGTACTCAACCACTACTCAACGAGTCGATCGAGCCAGAGATGGCAACACCTACTCCCCGTGAGCGAGCACGGCCTTGTAGAGCGCCGCGTGCTGCTGTTCGCCGACGACAAACGAGAGCGTCGCCTTTTGGTAGTACGCAGGATCGTGCGACAAGTTGTAGATGATGTCGTCGAGTAGAATCGCCTTGCCGGTAAAAATGCCTATTGGATCAACAAATTGCAGAATCAAAACACGCCCTTTTGCAATAGTTCCACAAAGAAAACGTACCAAACGGCACCTTGATGTGGGCAAAGTGAATGTGAAAGTGGTAGTACGACGGCTGATAGTGCACAAAAATGCGCATGCTGTTGGCCGCGACGCCGTACTTGGTCGCAATCAGCGCCAGACTCTGATCACTGAACCAGAATCAAAATACGATTTCAGATGTAAACGCGAGCGCACCGGACGTTGCGAAGCAGCGGGAGATGGTCGCCCGTCAAGTCGCGCACCGACCGAATCGACTTGTCCAGCACCAGCGCCAGAACATACAAGCTCTCCATCTAGATCGCGTCAGCACAACAGTTAAGAGTCCAGCGTCATCCACGTACATGCGAGAAGCGCGACCACTTGGTGTCGGGCAAGAGCAGGAAACCGGTGGTCGGGTCGTTGTCTTCGAGTAAAATCTTGTCGGCTTCCTGTGTGCTGCAGACAAAATTCGCAAGTGCCACCATGAGTTCTTACAGTTGCTACCGGTCGAGGATGTTGTACACCCACTGGATCTTGTCCTTTGGAATGCTCTCAATGTACGGGCGCGTCACTGTCTCGTAGAGCGATTGCGTCTCGGTGACGAACCGGAACGTCTGCTCCGTGTGCTTGGCAATGTGCGCGGGCGTCGCCGGGTAGATCATGGTCACCTGCGTTGGGATGAGCGCCATAGCATCCATAAATTCGTACGCGGAGCGCATCATTGTCGCCAGAGAGCACGCCGATATGGTTCGAGTAGACGTCGTTGGCATGGATCTGCTTGAGCGAGAGGTTGGCGAGGATCTGGCACGCGTCGCCGGCCGCAAACTTTTGCTTTTGAAGCACGAGCAGCATCTTCTCGTTCGGGCGTCCGCGAAGCGTACCCACGATGCACATTTCATTGTCAAAGGCCTTGGTGATGCGCTCAATCTCAAAGGTTGAGAGGTCGATGGCGCTCGCTGGCCGGCGCGGCAGGTACGTCGTCGCCAAGTACCCGAGGCCGACGCCCGCAGCAAAGACGGTGCAAAGCAAGGCTACGTGGTCCATGAGCTTGGTGCTCATGTTGCCTGACGGGCTTACTCAAATCGCGCTCCATCGACGGCTAGAAAGTGCAATCGTGTTTTGCCACACTTTGCAACAGGCTAAAAGCACTCCACTTAATGTTGCTTTTCTAGTAGCAGGCCTTGCTGCGTGTTGACGATTAGTTCAACAAGCATGGTATTTTGGATTGATGAGCGAGGTGACGTGGCAGGTGGTACAGGACGCCTGCATGCACTGCACACCATAGCGATACGTCACCATTGACAATAGGCTCGTGGAATCCCGCGATGCCAAGGACTTCTGCGTTGCTTCGAGATGCTGCCTCTGGCCCACCGCGAAAATTTGCGTTTTTTAAGCCGGCGTATTTGAGACCTGACTATTTAATTACTTGATATTGATATGTAATACAATAGCATCCCGCGTCTCTTCGGGGTGGCCCAATGCAACGCCATTGGTCAAAATGACGTGCGATGCACCAATTGGCACTCGGCATCGAAGGCCGACGAAGGTCCGGTGCGCGGTCCCTCGACCAAAAACCTTGGTCTTTGTATGTAACCGAATGCTTCGTTGTGGATTGGTCAAAAAGATTGCGTTTTGGCCAATGGCATCGACGACCGAATCTGGCATTAACGACCACTGACTTGTGGAATTTGCAGCCCTTCGCCAGCCATGTTGAGCCGTGTCGCCCGCGCCGCGCCCAAGCGCCTTCCCCGCGCGCCCTGCACGGCGGCCTACTCGACGGACCGCGATAGCCCGATCATCGAGAAGCCGACGTTGAACGAAGTCGTCGAGAAGGCGGCCAACCTCTTCTTCCTCGGCGAAATCTTCCGTGCGTCGTGGCTCGCGTTCGAGATCCACCTCGAGAAGAAGGTCACGATCAACTACCCGTTCGAGAAGGGTGTTTTGTCGCCGCGCTTCCGTGGCGAGCACGCGCTCCGCCGGTACCCGAGCGGCGAAGAGCGCTGCATTGCGTGCAAGCTCTGCGAAGCGATTTGCCCGGCGCAGGCGATCACGATCGAAGCCGAGCCGCGCGAGGACGGCAGCCGCCGGACGACCCGTTATGATATTGATATGACCAAGTGCATTTACTGCGGCTTCTGCCAGGAAGCGTGCCCCGTCGATGCCATTGTCGAAGGCCCCAACTTTGAGTTTGCCACCGAGTCGCACGAAGAGCTCTTGTACAACAAGGCCAAGCTCCTCTCGAACGGCGACAAGTGGGAGTTTGAGATTGCGCACAACTTGTCTGTCGAACAACTCTACCGTTAAGCGCCACCGGTCGCACGCTCGGCGCGCGTCGGTGCCGACGCTACATACAGTACCTCCTTTGTCGGTTGCCTCTCCATGGTCCGTAGGATGTACAGAGCATAGCTCCGGCAGCTTATACCTCGTACCTCGCACACAGGTCGTGGCCAGAGCCCATCTATATTGGAGTCTTTACCCAGCGATATTACTGTTGGACAAGCGTGCGAATCTTCTTGACAATGTCGTCGACGCGCGCCGACTGCGTGAAAAAGTCCATAAACTCGCCGTCGGGGCCGATGAGGTACATGACGATCGAGTGGTCTACGAGGTACTCTTCGTCCTCCTCGGCGTCGTCGTCGACCTCGGTCTCATCGGCCTTGGTGAAGTAGACGCGGTACGCCTTGGTCACGTCCTTGATCATGTCGGGCGTCCCGCAGAGCATGCGCAGCTTCGGGTGGAAGTCCTGCTTGTACGCCTCCATTTGCGCCACCGTGTCGCGGGCCGGGTCGACCGTGATGAAGAGCGGCTCAATGTCGAGGTCGGGAACCTTGTCCAGCACTACACATAGCGAGGTTGATCCTACAGCATGCGACAACGATGTCAAGTACCTTCGCCAAGGCGCACAAGCTCGTTCGGGCAAATGTCCGGGCAGTGCGTAAAGCCAAAGTACAGAATCGTGTGCTTGCCGCGGAACGACGCATCCGTGACGCACGTGCCCGACGCGCAGTCGACCAGCGTCCACGGGCCGCCCAAAAGCGCCTTCCCGACCGTCGTGACCTTGCCCGTCGTCTGCGTCTGCAAGCGGTCCTTCTCGTTCTTGTAGTACATCAAGACGCCGCCGCCAATGACGCCGGCCAAGGCCATGCTCGCCCACGACACAGGCTACGAATGCGTCCCGTTAGCCTACGCCGTTGGCAATGACGCAGCGCATGGCCTACCCCTGCGTTCTGCAGCTTGGTCGTAATGTCGGGCTTGGGGCCTGCCGCCGAGGTGAAGGCGCGGGCAGCGCGGCTGGCAGGGCGGAGGACGGCGCGGCGCAGCATCTTTCTTTGTCGCAACTTCAGAAATCACTCGAAGGCCAGCGATGGATTCGAACCGGAATGCGTATCCGGTTGGGCGAATAAAAACGACACGTGAAAAACGTGGTTTTTTCAAACGCAGGAAATACACGCGTGGGATTTGTACGTGGCAGAACGAGCTGGCAGTACGGTGTGCCAAGAACGAAGAAGTCTGCCCTCCCAATATAACACCAGCTCTGTACAACCAGACCACGCTCTTCAGTCACGACTACGAATAGACAAGTGGGCAGCCAGTACGACCCATCGCAGCCTTTGTGCTAATCCACAGACACTCTTATCGACACAACGCGGGTCTCCTCGTGCACTGCCGTCCTCGACACTCCGTCGGCCGTCATAGTCAACTCATCAAGATCAATAGACCATTATCTCTACTGCTACTTGGTATTGAGTATCGCGCAGCCATGACGACGCTCTGGATGGAGGTCTGCGGCGGCTCATATTGGGGTGAAACTCCGCCAGCACGTGTGTTAGGACATAGCAAATGAGCCTGCAAAGTTTTGTCTTAAGGCAAGCCGTGAAAAGCTTCCAATTTCATGTCTGTGTGTCCAAGAATGCCCAACATTGGACTATTTGCTGGCTAACGAAGCGCATCTGAATTCGTTTCATGCGTTTCGAAAGACTAATCTATACAATTAAAGTGTGTGCATGCAAGGGACTGCTTCATGCGCCGTGAAAAACTATGCTTTGAGCGCTACATGCACAGAGACCCAAGCGCCGCTCAGCGGCCGCGGAGCGCATTTTAATCAAATTTTAACAAAAAATCATCATCCGGACAGTTCGGATACGATGGCTCCTCCCGCATCATCCGCCGCAGGTTTGTATGGGCGTGACACACCCTCATCTCTCTCTCATACGGTGCACGTCGCCTGTAGACCACATTTGTTTCAAATTCGGTCCAGCCTTTATCCGGATTATATGTATAGTAAAACTGGTATATGCCGGATAGTAATATTAATAAAATAGTCAAAGTGATGAAATATAATTAATAAAATAGAGAAAATGATGAAATAATATTACTCGCACGAGAAAAATGGCCTTACTTGTTGCAATTTGGCTCTCCGCCCTGTATAAAGCGGCCAACTTTGGCCTCCATGCATTTCCTAAATTTTTCGAATTTTGAAAATCGGATCGCTTCGTCTTGTGCCAAACAGTCGATCTACGCGCTTATTTCGTTGAAATTCTGTAATATATAAATTTGTGGGTGGCGGTTTTGGACACCATTTTAGTGTTGGCTGTTGATGACGTGCACTGTATACCCCTGGCCAAGGTTTCGGCCAAGGTATCCGGATAAACAGCACTTGTACGGTTAACGGTCGACAATCAACAGCACAACAATCATCCTCGTCGACATTGACAGGATGGCCTCGCCCGTGCTACGGTCGCCCGACCTCGTCGCCGCCATCGCCGCGTACCAAGAAGGCCTACCAGAAGACTTGGCCGTGGCCCAGCGCCTCGCTGATGCCATTGAGCTCACGCCGTGCTCGCAACACCCCAACGAGGAGCAAACCGGATACCTCGCTCACGTTCCTGCCAGGCTCGCGGCGCTGCCTTACCTCCAGCGCTACGCCCACCCGACGACCAAGCTGCCAAACCACGCGCTCTTTGTCTCGCCAAGCGTGTACGACCGAGCTCTCGCGCTCCACCTCGCGATCGTCGACGGCGACATGGCGCTCGTCCAGCAATGGCTGCGATGGGATGCATCGCTTTGCACATCAGCAACGCTCGAGCTGGCCGCGGCCGCATCCCAAGGTCCGATTCTGCGCCTCCTTTTAGTGCAGTTTCCCGCATTCGCGACCACCAAGATGATGGACCTCGTGGCTTTGTCGGGCGACCTTGCGCTGCTTTCGTGGCTTCACGAGGCCGGCGCGCACTGCACTTCGGCGGCGATGGATGGCGCGGCCATGAACGGGCACCTCGATGTCGTGGTCTTTCTGCATGCAACGCGCACCGAGGGCTGCACGAGCGTTGCGGCCACCGCGGCGGTGGTCCACGGCCACGCGGCGATCGTCCAGTACCTTCTCTCAGAACGCACCGAAGGCGTCAAGCCGTGGCTCTACTTTGAGGCCCCGCACGGCAAGCACAAGAGTCATAGCGTACGTGGCGAGACACATCTTCAAGCGGTCGACCTTGTTGCAGCGACGCTCCAGCTGGCGGACGCAGCGTTCACGCGCATCGTACAGCAGGCGGGGCTCGCAGCGCTGCGGCACGTGTACACGCGTGGATACCTAAAAAAGATGACCAGAGCGTTGCTGGAGCTCGCTGTCGCCACGCGAGACCACGCAATGTTGCGCTACGTCTTGGAGTGCATCGACCAAGAGTACGCGCGACCGCAAGAAGCCGACGACGAGTGGCTGCCGCCAGACGCACCAGAGGACATGACAGTCGACTTTCGCCGAGGGCCGCGGCGGTACGCCGACGGTGACCATCCGATCGATCGGTGGGAGCACTGCAGAGTGATGGAGCTGGCGGCTTGCAACGGTGACATCACGTCGCTGGAGCTCTTGCACAAGAGCCGACTCCGCGTCGGCTCGACGCGAGCTATCGAGTATGCGGGCTACTGTGGTCACCTGCACGTGCTGCATTGGCTGCACGCGCACCGGCGCGACGGCTGTACCGAAGACGCCATGACTCTTGCTGCCCTCGCCGGCCGCTGGGACGTAGTTCGTTGGCTTCACGAAGACTACGGACTTTGCCGGACCCACGCCGCCTTGGCAACCGCAGCCTATGCAGGCCATCTGGCGATAGTAAAGTACCTCTTGGATGTGCCGACGGGCGGCGCCGACAATCACACGGATAAGCCTGACGACAGCTCTCGCTATATCACGGTGATGCCAGCGCTTTGTGGTGGCGCCGAGTTCGACTACTTCAAAGGGTCGGCGACGTACTGGGCGGCTACTCAAGGCCACCTCGAGATCGTCGAGCTGCTCGTCGCGCGGGGCCACCCCGTGCCGCCAACTGCCATGAGCGAGGCCGTCTCGAGCGGTCACTTGCACGTCGTGCGCTACCTCCACGAGGGGTTTGGCCACATCTGCACCTACTACCGGTCCCTCTTGAGCGCGGTTGAGGGGCGCCACATCGACACTGTCGCGTACGTGCTACAGAAGAGATGCTGGCAGCTCGGTTGGTCGCTGTCCAACGACGATCGGACCGAAATCGCTTGGCACATGCTGCTCGTGGCCGCCGCGCGCAGCGGCAGCCTGTCCATCTTGGAGCTCATTTGCAACACCTTCCCGATCAACCTCGCAACGGAATTACCGCGCCGCGTCTCGGAGCGCATGCTCCTCCGTGCTGCGTCGCTCGGTCATCTCGAGATGCTGCAGCATTTGCACGAACGCTACGGCTTTGGATGGACGCCGCTGGTCCGAGAGGCGGCGATGCACCGTGGCCACAAAAAAGTGCTGCGCTACTTTGATACACTCGGGCCCGCGACAGCCTCTGTCCATGCTACCGACGAGCGTGGGCTCTGGCGCTACGGAAATGATTTCAGTTTTTACGTGACGAGGGTCGACGGTGTTCTCGGCGTGCAGCCCATGTGATCGGTCGTCTATATGGTCAAGCCAACATACTATATACTAGTAGGCCTGGACCTAGGTCCTTCACCCACTGCAATAGTACGACAACTATAGCTATCCGCGTGTTCTACTTGAATGGTACTAGTCTGCTTGAAAGACCCTTGCCCTGTTGCGCGCTCTCCACGGTTATCCGGATGCCACCCGATGTGTACTTGATGAATGTATGCAACGTCTGGCGCGACAGGGCCGAATTCCGGATAAAGATACACGCCCTTTACAGATTTGCGCGTTCGAGTTGCAGTCCAGCTTTCGCCACAGGCCTGGAAGAGCGGAGAAGAGGAGCTGCGATGGCCCCGATTCCCGAGGTGTACACGCTGGACGAGCTCGAGCAGATCATGGTCGGCGTGCCCCGGACCATGCGGCTCCTCATGATCTCGTACTTGGCGGTGTTCCTCATGGCGCTCGGCGTCTACCTCGGTATCGCGTGGTACGAGCGCAAGCGCGAGAAAGGCGCGGACGAGCTGGACCTCGAAGACGCGCGCGAGTCGATCATCATGCCCTTCCACAAACCGCTCATCCTCTTCGTCATGGGCGTCTCGCTAAGCATGGGCATCGCGGTCGGCCTTGCGCCTGTCCCAACGAGCTTGACGGAAGGCGAGCTCCTCTACGCGATGCGCAACTTTAGTGTCAACGTGGTCGTCTGGACGATGCAGTACCCGGCCGTCTCGCGCAGCACGACGCTCAAGGCGATCGCGTGGGCAACGCTCTTCAGCATCGTGCCGATCCCGATCATCTATGCGGTCGAGTGCCACCGGCCGCTCGGCGACGTCTACGTCACGCTGCTCTTTGTACGGGCCGCGTCCGCGGGCCACTATGTGTACAACCTGCTTTGGCCGCCGACGTCCCGCGGCGCCGCGTCCTCGATCCGGTGGTACTCGGGCCTCGGCCTCCTCTACACGCTCCTCGTCATGGCCTACCACATGGCCTTCAAGTACCACTACTTTGCGATCGGCTACAACTGCGTGTACGCCGCTTCGGGCTTCCTCGTCTTTTCGCCGCTCTTTTTATACAACATTTTCCGCGAAGACACCAAATTTTGGCGCGGCGCCCACGCCGTCTTCCCGCCGTCGCGCGAGTTTCGCCAGATCGTCGCGCGCTTCAAGAACCTCACGGCGGACGAGGTCGACGCATACGACGAGGCCGTTCGGCGTATGATTGTCGACGCGTCGAGTGTCATTTTGGACTTTTCCGCGCTCGCGTTCAAGGAACCGCACGTCGTCGAGGGCGTCGGGCGCACGGCGACGGTGGCCTCGGGCTTGCTCCACGGGTACGAAAACATGGAGCCGCAGCGCGTCGCGATCAAGACGTTCAACCCGGAGCTCTTTCTCGCCGACGAGGTCGCCAAGGTCGCACTCGAGACGTCGATCGCGACGCTGCCGACGATGTGCAACAAGTACATTGTGCACAGCTTTGGCCTCGCAGTGCACCCACCCGCGCTCTGCCTCGTCACGGACCTCTGCGAGACGTCGCTGGCGTCGCATTTGCGAACAAAAGGACTGGGGCTTTCGCTGCGTGTCCGCCTGACCTACATGCTGCACTGCGCCAAGGGCGTCGGGTGGACGCACGCCAACATGGTGCTGCATCGCGACGTGCGCCCGGCCAACTTTTTCGTCCAAACGCTCTTCGAGACGCAGGACCTCCAGAAGATCATCAAGCTCTCTGACTTTGGTGACGCGACGCTCGTCGACGACCTCGTGACAAAAGCGCCGCGCACGGTGGCTGGCACGCTTTGCTACATGGCGCCCGAGGTCATGCGCGGCGCTAAAGTGCTCTACCCGCACCGCAACAACGTTGCGTACTACAATGCGTCGGCCGACATCTTCAGCTTGACGATGACGTTCTGGGACATTTTGCACCCGAATGCATCAAAGGACGACAAATTTGGATCGTCCGTGAGCACGCCCGAAGGCCAGCGCCGCGCGGCTGACAAAATACTCCACGGCTTTCGCCCCGAACTCTCCAAGGAGGTGCTGGCGGTGCCCGGCCTCAAGACGCTCTTCCACGAAGGCTGGTCCGACAACCCCAAGATAGTCCGCCCGACGGCCGTTGAGATCGTCAATCGCCTCAAGGCCATGCTGGACGGCAACAGTGCCCTGTACCACAGCGACACCGGTTCCAACAAAGCGCCAGTCACCAAGGATATGACCAAGATGGGGAGCACCGACGAGTCGCTTTGCGTGGACGACCTCCCCGTGTACCAAGAATTCTACGACGTCTAGCGCTTTGGCTCTGTGCAGCGCGTCTTGTCGCCTGATGATAGGTAATCCTGATTGAAGTTTTGTGACGTGCAGAGCGTGTGTTGGCCCGACGCACGATGTCACAACGCCACGTCATATATACGATGTTTGTATGACATACGTAGTGGGTGATCTGCATATCCAGGAATATTCACCAATCAAATCAAGTTGGGACGGCCATTATAGCCAATCCGCACAAGCGAGACGGTAAACCTGGCGCCCAAACCGGTTGGGAGGCGGCGTGTTGATTGGTCGACGTGGCGCCACCAATCGTTGCTGCGCTTTATATCCCAATACCGACGATGTCCAAGAAGCTCGAGACGAAGCCGCAGGTGATTGTGATCCTTGAGAACGCTGCGCTGGAGACGGTCAAGACCGCCAAGGGCCACCAGCTCCTCAACTGCGATGACCACAAGGGCATCCACAAGAAGCACAACAAGGACCCGTCGGCGTCGCGCCCCGATATCTTGCACCAAGAGCTCATGGCGCTGCTCGACAGTCCGCTCAACAAGGCCGGGTACCTCAAGGTCCATAGAGTTAGCATACCTGCTAGGATCCTCACAGCATCCTAGGTCTACATTCGCAGCGCCAAGAACGTGCTCATTGAAGTGAGCTCGCAAATGCGCATCCCGCGCACGTACAAGCGCTTCGCCGGCCTCATGGGTACGCTCGATATTTATGCATATATGTGCGCTTACAAGTTCGCGCGTATCTAGTGCAATTGCTCCACACGCTCAAGATTCGGTCGTCGGACGGCAAGACGACGCTGCTCAAGGTCATCAAGAACCCGATCGACGCGCACTTGCCGGCCAACATTAAAAAGTACGGCTGTTCGTGCACGGGCAACCTCGTGGACCCGTGGGAGTTTGTCTCGGAGCTCCCGCGCGAGCCGGTCGTGTTTGTGCTCGGCGCGATGGCCCACGGCCACGTCTCCAAGGAGATGTGCCCATACGTGGACGAGATGATCTCGGTCTCGGAATACCCGGTGCGTTATCCCCTATTCCGCCTCGCTAAATCTCAAATCTTGTGTTAGTTGAGCGGTGCGCAGGCCGTCGCGCGTCTTCTCAACGGCTTTGAGCGCCACTACGGCGTCTTGTAAAGACTTTGCCTAATTCATACGTTCCTACCCTCCCTCCTTCTATACCCAAGACGTCCGCCACACAAATGGTGACACACCGAGTCTGACGCCAGGCTGAGGGCTGGGCCTCGGCCAAGGGACTTGATGCACTTGAGGATCGCTACGGTCGTGGCTTTCTAGTCGGCTTTCGAATTGCGGTGATCAGACTACCGTCTGATGCGCTAGCATTGTCTCCGACCGGTTGTGACGCGCACGCGACGGACGCTAGGATGACGCACGCGATGCACGAGCCGACGCCACCACGCCTGTCGCGTTCGATCCAGCATTTCGTACAGAATGTGGTACCAGACGTTGATACAGAATTTTCATACAGAAACATGTTTGCAAATGCAGACGGATGCCGACGCACCTGCGCGCGACCAGGTCGCAGTGGATCCTGGATCTGGCGGTAAAGACACTTCATCGAGATGCTAGAATCCAAAGCGTCTATCCCTCTATCTATTCGACAAGCGACGGCTGCGAGCGACGAGTCAACGAGCGACCAAAGTGTACCCGTCTGCTCTGCAATGCCAACGACTGCTGGCGCATGGCCGTGGCGACCGATGACGTCGTCGCGATCTCCGGCCGCAGCAACCGCCGGTTCAACTGGGAGAAAAGACGTCGGTTCCTGCAAGCTACTCTGGCGGAGAAAATGGGAGTACGAGTAGCCGCCGGTTGCGGCGCCTTAGCCGAAGTATTCTCGGCGCCTGGTCAAGGGCTTCGATACTTGAGTGGTGGCGAAGCCTGCCGTCAGATTTGCCACACGTTTGCTATGGCACTCGTCAACGACGCCGACCAACCCGCAGGAAGAGCGCAAGCAGAGCTTATTCTCACTCGACGCTTCTGGTGCCAATGATTCTCAATGACCCAGTGCAAGCGTGAAAAAGTAGCTTTTGAGTTTCGCCGTGTAACCGCCTCCGATCCGGATAGCGCGGCGGAAGAAGATCTTAGTTGTGTCATTCGACATCTTGCGCCGTCGCACGCCATGCGCCTCGTCCTCGCCGTCTCCGCGCTGCTTCTCGACGCCGTCGCAGGCGTCAAAGACCGCTGCACGGCCATCCTCGTCGGCGCCCAGGTACACATCGCCCTCGTCTTGGAGCGTGGCGACTTACAAAGGCATGGCAGGCGTCGACCTCGGGCTCGCCCATGACGACCCACAGCAACGACTGCCCTGACTGCGACTTTCGCCTCGCCAAGATCCCAGCAAAGGAATACGAAGCAGGCGACACGCGGCCGATCTTTGCTCCGACCTCGCAGTACCCTCGCTACGGTACTCATCGATGCCCATCTCGAGTTCTCAGCCGTGGCTAGTCGGGGACGATCGCGGGCCGGTCTATTCGCCCGAGAACCTCGACGACCGCTTTTACGACTGGAACGTCACGCAGCCGATTGGCCAAATCCCGCAAGTGAACGCCACGTACGGGTACCTCGAAGGCGTGTACGGCATCATGAACGAGCATCAGCTCGCCATGGGCGAGAGCACGTGCGGTGCGCGGTTCGTGTCGCGGCCCATCTCGGACGGCGGGCTCGCGCTCCTCGATATTACCGAGCTCGGCCGCATCGCGCTCGAGCGCACAACGACAGCGCGGGATGCCATTTTGCTCATGGGTCGTCTTGCCGAGACGTACGGGTATGACTGTCCACGCTCTCATGCTGGCTTTTGCAAATATGCTGGACTAGGTACTATGGCTCGGACTGGGGCACGGACGACGCATACGCGAGCGCTGGCGAAGCGCTCACGATCACCGACACGGTCGAGGCGTGGATGTTTCACATTCTGCCCGACGACACGGGCGCGTCGGCGCTCTGGGCCGCCCAGCGCGTGCCCGACACCCACATTGCCGTTGTCGCCAACGAGTTTGTACTTCGGGAAATCCACTTTGACGACGCCGACAACTTTCTCTACTCGTCCAACCTCCGCGATGTCGCGGCGCGCAGCGGGTTTTGGGAGCCGACTTTGCCATTTGACTTTACAAAGGCGTTTGCATACACAGGAGCGTCGTCAGATGCGTCGACGCGCCGTGTGTGGCGTGTCTTCAACCTCGCCGACCCGTCCACCGCGCTGAGCCCGTTCACGGACTTGTACGCGAGCAACTATCCCTTCTCGATGGCGGTAAGGACATCGACGACCTGTATACATCCCTCTCAAACGATTCTTAGCCGGCGAGTCCGCTCTCTGCCCACGACCTCATGGCCTATCAGCGCGACCACTTTGAAGGCACGGCCTTCGACTTGACCCAGGGACCGGCCGCCGGTCCTTTTGGCGACCCGGAACGCTACGCTACATCACAGAACGGCGGCCGCTTTGAGCGTAGCATTGCAGTGGCCGCGTCCACGTACTCGTTCGTCGCGGTACCAACGACCTCGTCGCAAACCCTCGGGCTCCTCTGGTACGTTGCCGTCGTCCAGTCGTTTCCGAGACGATGAGATCTTATGCGTAGGTTTGGCGCGTACGCTCCGGACGCCAACACGTACATCCCGCTGCACGTGTGCATCTCGGAGGTGCCGGCGCTTCTGAGCCAAGGCTCGCTGCGGGCGTTTGATTTGAACGTCACGTTTTGGCTCCACGCCGTCCTCGGCAACTACGCGGCGCGCTACTACAAGTTTGCGCACCCGGTGATTGCCGAGACGCAGGTTGCGCTCGAGTCGGCCATGCAATCAAGTAGGATACGATCGACGCATCTTTGAGCTCACCGCTCGAGTGTGCTAGCGCTCAAGGACGTCGACCGTGTGGCGCCGGCGCTGCGCGATCTCCAGGGCGACGACGCGATGGTCGCGTACTTGACGACCAACGCCGACGTGGCAACGACGCAAGCCCACGACGTCTTCTTCGCGCTCTTTACGAACGTCGTCACGCGCTTCCACGACGGATACGTCATGGCGAATGCGACGAGCGCGCTATTGAGTGCAACGCCGATGGGGTATCCTGACTGGTACCTCAAGAGCGTCGGGTACTACGACCCGCTCGGCGGCGCGAGTGCGTCGTCTCTCGGCGCCATGGTGTTCATGATCCTCGTCGTCATCATCGCGCTCAGCGTCGGCGTCGGCTTTTACGTCGGCCGCGTTCGCGCCGCCAAGAAGCGCGGGTATGCGTACATTCAATAAGCCGCCGAGCAATCTACATTTGTACTCTTCCAGTTCAAACGCGATTGCACACAAGACATTGTGCTCCAACAGATGAGGGCGCCTTGCCATGGTGGCAGCGACGGTGTCGCAAGCATCTCAATGATGACGACGGCGAGTCGAGGCTCGACTGCTGCGACGGACGATATCCGCTTGCGCACCTTGTTGCGACGGCGGGCTCGTGAGAATAGCGCTCCTCGTCTCACTCGGTCAGAAGTCCACTGACAGTATCGGCGAGGCCAAGGACCTCGGCGTCGAGGAGCCAGCTGTACGCACGCTTGTACGTGAAGACCTTGAACGACGCACCTAGGCTTTTTGGGCAGCGCCGTCAGAATCGCGTTGAGCTTCTTCTTGTGCGCAGGCCCGTGGAGCTTAGCACCAGCGAGTTTCTTGGGCATGAAGGCAATTGGGTCGTCCTCGTTGGACTCGTGTGCGATACACCGATGCCGTAGCTGGTGGCAATGAACCGGCGATCGTGGTCAAGGCCAAGACGGGCGCTTGCCGCATCGCAACCTTCAACCACCACCCCATCAGTGCCACGAGCCACTCGTACGTGTCTCTTGAGTGCATCTGCCGTGAGCTTGCGGGACTCGGGATCGACGAGCATCGTAGTTGCAAGGTCGAGCTTCGAGACCCACTAGGAGTCCTTCATGCGATCGAAGAGCGCGTCACGGGATGCGTGGGATCTCTTGCTGCGAGTTCGAGTGGCGGTAGTCGAGCACCCATCGGATCTTGGACTGTGACGTGAGCGACTTGATAAACTGCGTTCTTGACGGCAGCTCAGCATCCTCGGTGTGTTTGGGTACCCAAAGACGTTCGCGCCCAAGGGCGGTTGGAGACTTGGACCCAGCTCTTGTTGAGGAACACAAGCAGCAAGCAGCCTTCAACTCCAATGACTCTGATGGCGCATGCGCTCTCTTGTAGGACGACAACGCGCGTCGCGATCGCAAGGCGTGAGGGGTTTGTATCAAATGGAGAGCCCATGAAACTAAAACGGTCTGTACAAAGCTCGTTAGGAGCTTACACAAGGCCCGCACTCGATGCGCGCTCCCGCAGTCAGAGCAAGTGACGTGGCTATCCTGCGGGCAAGCTCCGTGACGTGGCAAGCCCTAGCCCCGATCTTGTGTTTAAAACAGAAAAATGGGTTTTATTCACACCCACGGACGGCGATTGGGCATTGCGAGCATGGCGGAGGAAGCCGAAGTCGAGTCGTTCGGGCCGCCCGAGCCCGTCGCGCCGTGGAACTGGTCGAGCATCCCCGACTACGGCCCCGTGCAGCAGTACCAGCACGTCCTCGCCTTCCTCCTAATCGGCGTCGGCATGACGCTCATCTACGAATACACCACGTACCCCTCCCGTCGTCTCATCACGTCCGTCACGGTCGCCGACGTAGGTACTTTGACCAAGTCTCGCGTGAGTTTGCCTACCCGCTCATCTGGATCGCCATCTTCTTCCGGCTCCTTGCGCACCTCTCGCCCCGCGAGCTTAGCGAGGACGAGGAAATCGTGGCCCGCGAAAAGGCCGAGGCTCTCGCCTTCAAGCAGCGCCTCGCCGCGCTCGCCAACGACGATGACGAGGACGAGGACGATGCGAACGAGGTGCAGCCGTCCGCCGACGCTCTGCGCGCCAAGAAGCAGCAATAAGCAGGCAATCACACATATATCGGTTGCTGCATTTTGTATCAAGTCGGTCTTCCTCTACATGCTTAGCCGCGCAGCCAGCCAAAGAGGCCACCGCCCGACGACGTCTTGGGGTTGAGCTCGTCGAGGCGCGCTTGGAGGTCCGGAAACGCGAGCTCACTCCCCGCAATGTCAAACAGCAGTGGCTTGGGCGGAATCGCCACCATCGACGGCGGCAGCTTGACCACGTCGTGGGCGCGGGCGCGGGCGCCGCTCTCGTACTCGTGCTGGCGCTCGAGGAGGCTCTTGGCGCCGTCGTCGTTGACGTCGAGCTTCTCGAGCGTCGCACGGACCGCGTCGGTCGAGCCATACAAAAACGCGCTCGCATTCACACGCGGCGTGGCGCCAAGCACCTGCGGGCGCAGCTCGTCGCGAAGCGCGAGCACGTCGGCGTCCGAGGTCGGCATGGCGTCGGCGACCGCAACGTTGGTCTTGGCCAATTCGAAAAGCGCCATCGCTTCAGGGTACTAGTAGAAGAGTGGGTAATCGAGCACAGACCGAGCTAGTACCTTCTTGCCAGCAAGGTACATTTGTGCCACATAGTTGGCGCGCATCGCAGCCAAAAGCGGCTGGAGCACCGCAAACTTGGTGCTAAAGAGCTCGTGCGACGCGGCGCCCGGCAGCGCCTTCATGTCCTCGATGTTCTGCAGCAGCATTTCAATGATATGGATCATGTCGCCGGGCGACCGGTCCACGCCAAGTCGAGCCTTGAGCTGCTGCATGAGCGTCAAGTTGCGCTGGGCCTAGAAGGCGAGTCGTGTCCACATCTGCTGCTTTGCCATAGTCGGCGGTACCGTGTGCACTTGCTTGAGGAAGCGCGTGTACTCTTCAAGGGCCGCAATGTTGTCGCGCTGCGCTTCGGCCATGAAGCCGCTCTTCATGGCGTCCGTCTTGGTGCGCTCGTTGCCGAGCTGACGCAGAATGTTGTCGTACGCACTAGTGGCATAGGACGAGTTGGGCGAGAGAAGTGAAGACGATGGGTTTACCCAAAGAGCGCCACGTAAATCGCATCGCGCTTCTTCTCGGTGAGGTCTGTCGATGCCTTGGCGAGCTTGGCGAGATGCTCGTCGGGGCGCACCATGGCCAGTGAGAGCTACGCAAGCGATGAGATGAAGAGGAGCCTTAGCGGGACGTACGTCGTCGGACGGGATCGCGACCGCGCGGCCGTTCCACGTGATCTGCGCCATCGTCTTGGCCTTCGTCTTGGCCTCGGCATGGAAGACCTGGTCGATCTTGGACTGCAGCAGCGCCGACGTCGTCGACTCGCGAAGTTCGTGCAGCAGCTCGGCCGACGCGCCGCCCGAGACCATGTTGAGGTTGTATTCGCAGTAGCGCATGAACGGGCTAATCTCTTCGAGGATCTGGTGCACGAGGTCCTGCTGGACCGACGTCCCGACCTTGGCGAGCTCGCTGTAGATGCGCTGGGCGGTCGTAAACTTCTCGAGCGCCAGCTTCCACTCTTCCTTGTACAGCGCGAGGTTGCCAGCCATGTACGACGCATACGCCTCGGCTTCTAGGCTCGTACGGGCGTCCGCGCGCTCCGAGCAAAGCGACACAAGCTTGTCGGACCATGCAACCGCCTTCTTGAGGCGGCCCATGAGGTGGAACTTGATGCGGCTGCTCGCCTCGTCGCCGTTCTCCTCCTTGTCGTTGCGCTCGTCCTCGCGCAGCTGCATCGCGTAGCTCCACGCGCGCTCCGAGTGGTACAGCGGCAGCATCAAGTGGCGCACTTCGGCGGCGTTCGCCGGCGTGACCTCCTTGGCGACAAAGCCCTTGCCCTTGCCATGCGTGAACTTGAGGCCCTTGCGCAGGCGTCGCAGGCGGCGCGCGCAGTGCTGGCGGTAGCGCGAGTAGTCGCCGAAGCGCAGGCCGTTCTGCTGCTGGCTAAACTTGATCGTCTCAAGAACTACACAGCGCATGAGCTTGGTCGTTCGAAGAGGACCATGGCGATGATGGCGTACTCGGCAGCGAGAGCGGGACGTTGGAGATGACCTTGGTCGTCGGCGCGGCCGACGCGCTCACCTTCTTGTCCTTCTTCCCCATGAGGATGACTTCGTGTTTTGGCCAAGGACTGCCGATAGCGACCTGTTTCAATGCGATTGGCTAAAATGATTTGAATTTCGACGACTTTAGCACCAATGGCATCGTTGCTATTTTCGAATCCGCAATGAAGCGACGGGGAGACCGCGGCGACATGGGCGCCGAGGACAAGCGCTCGAAGCTCGCAACAAGCAAGGCCGCAGACGCTGCAAAGGACGCGGATGCACTACGTGTCGGCAACTTTAAGAAGCAAGTTGCATCGACCTTCCATCCTCGTTGTCAACGGTATCTTGTAGGTACTACGCGTTTCGCTGGGGCAACGGCGCGATCGAGGGCAAGCTCGAAGAAGACTCGCGCCTCGCCATCTTCCAGCGCGAGTGGTTTGAAGGCAAGAAGGCCCTCGACATTGGCTGCAACTCGGGCGACTTTACGCTTGAAGTGGGTACGTCTTGCAGCATTAGCTTCGTTTGACCTCATGCTTTGGCAACCAGCGCGTCGCTTTGCCCCGGCGTTCATCATGGGCATCGACTGCGACGCCGACCTCATCACACAAGCGCGCGCGACGCTTAAGGAGTACATTTCCAAATTAGCCGTCACCGAAGCCTTCCGCGAAGTGCAAAAAGACCATGGTCGGCAGGATGAAAAGCAGCGCGATGATGCAGGCAACGACGACGACGACGACGAAGAGCTGCCGCTCTCTTTTCGCCTATGGAAGCCACCGGCGTCGACGCAGCCCAGCGTGGACCCGCTGCCCAACATTGGCAGCTTTGCCTCCGGGTTTGACCCCATCAATCACACTCACGACGACCCACGCATGCCTCTTCTAGGGTGCGCTTCCCGTACAACGTGGTCTTCAAGCGCGAAAACATTGCGACCGACGTGCACACGGGCAAAGACTATGACGTCATTACGTGGTAAGCGTGCGTGTTGGCTCTTCTTGCCGCTCACGAGTGCGTAGCTTGAGCGTCACCAAATGGATCCACCTGTACCATGGCGACGCAGGCATCCAGCAGCTCTTCCACCTCGCGTACGCGCTGCTCTTGCCGGGCGGGTACTTCATCTTGGAGCCGCAGGTACGACTTTGCGAGGAATTGGGCCCTTGCAGCAGTTTTGTTGGCGTAGAAATGGAAGTCGTACCACAACCGCAGGGACACGAACGCGACGACGCGGGCTCACTACGACAGCATTGCGCTGCGCCCGTCGGCCTTTGCCACGTACTTGCTCGAGACGGTTGGGTTTCGCTCCATGACGCTGCTCAAGGTTTGCAGTACGTCGGCGCAGGGCTTTCGCCGCCCCGTGTACCTCTACCAAAAGTAGACAGACGATCACTGTGCATTCTTAATAGTAAAGCAATTAGAGAGTCATCTACCTGCCTAGCGTCGCACGGGCCCCTTGCGCACCATCGCGCCGGTCGGGCCGCGCTGGCTGTTGCCAAGGCCAATGTGGGCGCCGCCACCGAGCCCCAGCGCTGGAATCGAGCCTTTGTGCTTCTTCCATAGCTTGACACGTTTGAAGAAGGGCGCGTGCTTGAGCATGTCTGGGAAGATGATAAAGAGGATCTGCGACCCGCGCAGGTACACTTGGTCGCAGTGCGATTGCATGCCACGGAGATCGGTCCGGTAGGCGTCCTTGAGCACGCAGTTCATGTTGTCCTCGGTCTCGTCGAGGAAGCCGCGGTAGAGGTCGCCGTTCTTGAGCTCGACCGTCACGATCGTACCTTCGCCATCATGGAGCAAGATCGTCGGGATACCCACGCCACGCTTCCCCGTCACCGCCATGGTCCGTTCGTTCGCTGGAATGGAAGGTCGCACCTAGCCGAAATCGTTCGTCAAAGGCCATTGGTCAAAATACGCGGCTTTTAGCCAATCCACCGTGGGTTCGATCATTCGGCATCTGCCACTTTGTGCGGGGCGAGAGACTCTTGGGCCATGGAGAAGCGAACGACCCATCCAGCAGCTTTCTCCTATCGACGACCTTACTCATGTGCTTCTAGTATACCAATTGCATTCGATTGACCAAGCCGTGGGTGCCTTGCGCATGTTTGCACTTCACGCAAGAGACAGCTAAATTCGGCATGACGAGGTCAAAATGCCGAAAATTGTCGCATTCGCACTCTTGCGCCATCATGGAGAAGTACAACCGCTGGTCCGACTTGACGACCGGGATCAACCCGTTCGTGCCGCCGCCCCACAAACTTCCGTCCAACGTCGTCCTGCGCTGGGGCCAGATCCTCGTCGGCGGCGTCGTCGCGCTCGCCCGCTGGGTCCTCCTCCTCCCACTGCTGGTGCTCTGGTCGCTGCTCGAGCTAGTCGCGCTGCTCCTCGTGCGCCGTCCTGCCACATGGCCTCGGTAGCTCACACGCGTCAATGCTAGGGCTACGTTCCATTCCTTGGCCGGCTCGTCCATCGGGTTGTCGACTGGGTCTGCGTCGGCCTCATCCTTGTCGTGACGACCATGTTTGTCAAGGAGGAAGACGCCAACGTCCGCCGCCTGGGCCTGCTGTACGCTGGAAGTGCATCGCCTTCATGCGCTCACGGATATGTAGCCCGCCTGGTTCCAAGGCGCCGTCGCTTCGTCGCGTCGCGGCCGGCGACCTCATTGTGTGCAACCACTCGAGTGTCTTTGACGTGCTCTACCTTGCCTTCCGCTACTCGCCGACGTTTGTGTTTCCGAGCGAAAAGGAAAGCAGCGCCAAGGTACGCATGCTCGTTGCTAGGTCGCTTGGATCTCATGTGGTCTCTTGCAGGGCTTGGTGCAATCGTGCACCGTCCTTGGTGCGCTCCGCCAAGCCATGTCGCCGCCATTGAGCTCGCTGTCGTCGGTACGATGTCCAAGTCATATCTACGACTTGTCAGCTCATGCGATCTGCACGTAGCCCGTCAAGCTCGCCGATGTGCTTCGCCGTGCGTCCGGGCCCGTCGTTGTCTTCGCCGAGGTGGCAGCAGCTACATTGTCCAGGCGCTGAGAGAGCGTAGGGTACTCGGAGCAACGGCAAGGCAGTCTTGCCCTTCCACGTGGATCTGACCGCGCTCCCGACCTCGACGCGAATCCATATCGTAGCGATTCGGTATGGCTTTCCAATTTGTAATATGGCGAAATTCATCCATATGTGCAGGTACGAATACAAGAACGTTGCGCCAACGCACACGTGTGGCTCGGCGCTCGTTCAGCTCTGCCGCGTCTTGTCGCATGTCTACCACTCGATGAAGGTCTTGCGCTTGCCGGCCGAGTACGTCACGGACGCCACGTCGGTGCGCACGCTCTTGGCGTCGATGCTGCGCACCAAGGCGGTGGACGTGACCTGCGCCGACTTTGTGTCATTCAACAAGTACTGGGAGCACGTCAACGGCGGCGGCCGCGAACCCGCGTCCAGCTTTACCACGCGCAAGGCGCCGCACGAGCACGCGCAGTGGAAGGCAAAGGAAACCTAGTCGTTGCTCGTCGTCCACGCCAGCTGCCTCTACTAGTTAGTCGCTTACGAATAGGGCTCCTCTACTACTAGTAGCTGAATGTACGAGCGTCGATCCAGCGCGTCCCAACACGGATCATCCACGTCTCTATGTTTCTTTTGGCACAAAATGGTATATCTCACTCGAGCGACTAAACGAGCGACTAAACGAGCGACTCATCTGGCGACTAAACGAGCGGCCAGCGTAGCGTCCTTAGTGCAGCTTCATGGCGAGCTCGTAGGCGCTGATCGCGAGCTCGGCCGCAATCAAAATAATAATATACCACTCCATGCGCGTGCCCTTGTACGAGCTGAGCACTTCGAGGAAGAACTAGCGACGCGTCACGAGCCGTGTAAGAGATGGGGACATGTCTACCTTGGTGTTGTGCTGGATGAGCTCGAGCTTGAAGTTGAGGTTATTGAAGCGCTCGCTGAGCTCAAACTCTTCGAGGAGCGTCTCCCACATGTTGTGGTAGCGCGTATGGCTCCACGCCGCGTCGCCCGGCCGCTTGCGGTCAATGACGCGCAGCTTGCTCACGAGGTCGATGAGCAGCGTGTTGTTGGTCGCGACAATCTACGGTCGTCGTGGCATCGACATGCGTGAGCCATATGGGACGTACCTGGAAGAGCTTGCGGTGCTGCTCCTTCTCGGTCGTCTCGGCGCCCGACCACGAGAGCCCGAAGAGCGCGGTCTGCGGCCCCTTCTTCTCGACGAGCGTGTTGAGCTTCTCAAACTCGGCCAAAATGGCTTCGACCTGACGCTCATAGTGCTCGAGGGCCACGGTTTGCGCCAAGACACCGGCAATGACCTAGATCGTATGGCATATCGTACAGTGAGGTCGATCGCGTTAGGACCAACCTGGATGTTGACGTGGTCGATCTCCTGGACGCGAATGTTGTTCTCCTTGAGCTCGCTCCACCCCTTTTGCGTCGGGTCGGCGACGAGGAGCAGCTCTTCATCGTGGCCGCGCATCTCGAAAGCGTCGCTGCAGTACTTCTTGGCGTGCTTGATGAGCGTCGTCGTGAGCGAGTCGTCGCAGTTGAAGAAGACGACGGCGCCGTAGTCAAAGTAGACGACCCACTTGTCCTTGGCGCGGCGCGACGGAATCTCCGGGTTCTCAGCAAGCGCCGCGCTCGGCGGCAGCTCGGGCGGGAACGTTGACGCCGACGTCTTGACCGAGTTGTTGAGGTGCGCAATCCACGGGTTGGGCGCGTTGTCGTTGCCGCTGCTGAGGCGCAGCACGACCGAGTCCTTGTACAGGTAGTGGCTCACCTTGAAGCGGTCCGTGTAGAGCCGCTGAAAGAGCGAGACAATGTCCATCTTGCGCGCCAAGTGCACGGCGCGGATCGGCATGTGCTCGGCCTTGCGCTTCCGCTTGCGCTCTTCCTCGGCCATGGCTTGCGCGATCGTCTGCGAGACGTCGGTCGCATCGACCGCAGCCGCAGAGCGCGGCAGGCTCGAGGCCGACCGGGCGAAGCTCGGCGTCGGCCGGCCCAGAAGGTGCTTGCTCGTCGAGAGGAGGCTTCGGCGCAGCATGTGATCCTCGGACGTTTGCGGAAAATAATGGTGTGCCACAAGCTGTGTTGGGATTTGCATCCAATACAAACGTCCATACAAATAAAATCGCAATCTTTGAAATATGCATTATCACAGGTCCTGCGGCATTGCATATCATACGCGACGCTGATTGGCTTGTGCAATCGACGCGAGGCGCCGGCCGCCAACACGGCGCTGCTCCTCAAGCTCTTCAAGCCCATACTCGTACCGGTACTACGTCGCCACTTGCAGCGGAATATTGATACCTTGGTGCATCAGCCGCTCGGTTCTATAGTCAAATGCTACCAACCCTCCGTTCCTAATGCATTAGTACTGTACTTGGACCAGAACGGCGTCGCACGCACGAGGATGTTCTGGTTGTCCATCAAGCCGCGGTGCTGAAAAATGAATTGTCATCCACGCGGTCTGGTCTTTGGCGGTACTACTCAGATAACCACATCTAGTTCCATGATCTGGTACGCGAGTCGGCGATTCCTGGCTCGGTTTTGTCGGGTTTGGAATTTGTGATGTGAGCAAAATGACGCAAGATTCCGGACATATTTGTCGCGGAATGTCGTCCATCGCAGCTTGGCTGCGGTACGCCCCGTCTGTTGCGGCCATGGCCGCCTTGTGAAGAGAGCTTCGTTTGCTCAAATGAAGCTCCACGAGGTCGCATTCCCGGAGATCAGCGATCTCCCGCGCCACTGCATCGACAACGGGACCCAATTTGCGACGCCACGTAATACGTTCGCCAACGAGGCGTGGCCACGAGGTAGCACTGTGCACCAACGGCGGCGCAGAAGCTCGGCGCTTTGTGCAACACGGCCATTTGGTGCGACAAAGGACAAAATGCGGGAATTCAGTGGTCAATCTGCAATCTGATTGGCCGAAAGAATCTCAAAACTTCGATCTCCACCGTCACTTTCAATTGCCGACGCAAGCGCCGCCATGCTTCGACGACTCGTACATAATGGTCCTCGACGAGGCTGGTAGACATTGGGTATGTGTAGGCTGCGCTTGGCCTCGGCGCCCACGCGGTCCTTGGCGCCTGCCCGTACCAGAACTACACGTCCACGTTCACGGTCAGCTACTGCGGTCAGCCCGACGCGATTCTGTGCATTGTCGACAGCAACTGCAAGGTACCCCATCGCAGGCAACCTAGACGAGATGCATGTGGGCTTGTAGCCGACGGTGATGTACACGAAGAAGATAGACGTCTTCAAGGACTCGACGTTGACCGACCAAATCATCATCAAAGGTGTTAGCACTCTCGACCGTCATGACGCTCATGTCGTTCGTATGGTAGACAAGGCGCAGTACCTCGCGCAGCTCCCTCGACTAAGCAACACATACATGTACGGCGTCTGCGTCGAGTCTCACGACTCTTACGCAACTACTAGTCAATTCTTCGGCTCCGTGCGCCAGGTCGGCGACCTCTCCAACGACTCGATGGTCGCGCTCCTGTAGGCTCTCTGAAGGATATCGGTATGTCTCTGACGCTGTCGTAGGGACTTTCAAGGTAACCCTGGCATCGACCTCTCCAAGGCAGCATTTCCATCGTCCATGACCCGCCTGTTGCCACGCATCCTTTGTCGTCGGACTTCTCATGGGGTGGGTAGGTCGCTGGCGCAATGCCAGCTCTCGACACTTCCAACAACGGTTCCGTACGGCCAGCTCTCGGAATTGTACGTTGCATTCACCAAAAGTGACGAATCGAATCGTGTCTTTTGTGTAGTTATGGGTGGGACAACAACTTTACGTCGCTCGACCATATTGACTTCCGCAACGCGGTCGAAATGTACAACGCTTCATTTTCGAGCTGGAGATGTACTGATATCTTGATATTGTATTAGCAAATTCAACAGCTGTCCGCGCCTCACGACCTTCAACAACGTCTCGGTCTCGAATCGACTGAGCAAATTGTACGAATTCGTATCATTTCCACTTTACCACTTATCAATTTCTCGCTTTTTGTAGCTATTTCGACGACTCGAATTTCACAACGTTTCTCGTGGACCAGCCGACGTACACGGCGCTGCAGTCCGTCCCGACATTTGCTGTCGGTGGCATCGATGTCTCGGCCTCGTGCAAGGTGCCCAACACCATCCAGCCGCTCAAGACCAAGTACTCGGTGTGCGTCATGCCAGGTACTCAAGACCAAGTAGAAGCACACTCAGATCTAATTGGTGGTGTAGCGTCCACACCGACAATGGCGCCCGTCTCGTCGGTGCCCGGGGCGACGCCACCGGCCGCGACGACCTCGACGACGCAGACGGCTTTGATTGTGGGGGCAACACTCGGGGCTGTCGCCATAGTCGGGCTGTGTGTCGCCGTCTTTGTGTGCTATCGCCGCAAGCGTCGCGCCGCCAAACCGTACGATGCATCGAGAGACAAGACACTCGACGTTTTTTCGTAGTCCGACAGACACAACCGTCGACCGAAGCTACGGGCGCACGGAGACGATGGTCGTGGACACGTCGTCGACGGGACACATGGCCAGCGCTGCCTTCAACATGGAGGTCGCCCCATTTCGCTCCCCTCGAGAAGTGTCAAGTTGGATGTGGGTAGGAACTCGAGCTGCTTCGACTCGATGAACGCGCTCTGTTCAAAGTCCAGTCGATCGCCCAAGGCGCGTACGGCGAAGTCTACCGCGGCGAGTATAAGGGTGTGAATTCTCTACGTATGAACCTTAACCCTAACCCACGACCAGGCCAAGAGGTTGCCATCAAGTGCATGCTTCAAGGCAAGAGCTCCCGCGACGACATTCTCAACCTCATGGAGGAGATCAAACTCACGGCCAAGTGCGTACTATCGTCCTCCATGCAACGGTACTTGTTTCGCTAAGTGCGTTGGATTAGGCTCGACTGCCCGTACGTGGTCAAGACGATCGGCGCGAGCTGGCGCGTCCCGTCCGAGCTGCAGATGGTCCTCGAGTGGATGGACCGCGG